CAGTACATGTTAAAATCTAAGCTCAGCTAGATCTAAAATGCATAAATTAAATTTTACTTACCGAAAAAAAATGAAGTGGAGACTTCTTGGACGCTCTATTAGTGCAATTAATGCCACAGCAAGTCATTTTGTCCAACAATTGCACAAATAATATCCAAAAAGAACGCACAAACGCTACAACTAATGGTCTAAGTTGAGAGACTGAAAATGGCGGAACAGTTTTCAGGCGAGGCCGAGGCTCAGGCTGAGGCCTTTCCCTGGAGCTAGCTCTGCGGTCACGTGGGTCTGATGCTCATTAATTATTCAGAATTTTAGGCTTTTAATACACTTAAACAGAAGAGTGAGAAAAAATTCACCCCCCTCAGAGATGTCGTGAGTGTAAACTGGATCTATTAAACCTAAAACATGTTTTTTGGAACCAGGCTGTAAACATGTTTGTTTCTGCTGTGAAATTGGTATTTTTAACATGGGAGTCAATGAGGATTTGCTCGCTACTGACACCAGCCCCTAGTGGATGAGGGTGGAACTGCAATTTTTGTCACTTTGTTGGCTTCATTCCAGACCCGAATTATGGGGGCTTGGAGAAAACCCACACACAAATGGGGGAAGATCCTAACTCCATGCAGAAAGGCTGCAGCTGGGATTTAAACCTGCAACCATCTTGCTAGAAGAAAACAGCACAACCAGCTGGACCACCATGCAGCCCATCTTGCATTTTCAGCTAACTACAAGTTAAAAAAGAGATAAAGAGCAGTAAAGATTTTGTCTGAGTCTGGTTGCACAATAATCTGTTTTACTGGTCTAAACAAGCCACACGGCCTCGTGCAATAGAGTTTCTGAATGAAGATAAGACTGAGATCCTCATCTGTGCCCCAGACAAGCTGGTTCACAAAGTCAGAGACTCTCTTGGTCAGCTTGCTTCCCACACCAAACCCTCTGTCAGGAATCTTGGTGTGACCTTTGACCCAGCTCTCACGCTGGATTCTCATGTCAGTTCTCTTGTTCACTCTTCCTTCTTCCATCTCATTCTGTCCCGCTCTGAACTTGAGACAGTTCTCCACACCTTCATCTCCTCACGCTTAGACTACTATAACTCTCTTTTCACGTCTCTGAGCAGAGCCTCCCTGAACCGTCTACAGGTGGTTCAGAACGCCTGTGCTCGGCTTCTGACCAAGTCCTCCAAACACACCCACATCACCCCGCTTCTCCTCCAGCTTCACTGGCTAACAGTCAGCTTCAGGGTTCATTTCTAGATCCTGGTTCTGGTCTATAGGGCCTTACATGGACAAGCACCATCTTACATTGGTGATCTTCTTAGTCCCTACACCCCCAGCAGGTCCCTGAGGTCCAGTGATCAAAGCCTACTGGTTGTGCAGCACCAGGCTAAAGGTCAAAGGTGACAGATCATTTGCTGCTGTGGCCCCCAGACTCTGGAGCTCTCTCCCCCTGAGCCTGAGATCAGTGGACTCAGTGGTCTCCTTTATAAAGCAGCTGAAAACTCACCTGTTCAAAGTTGTTTTTGTGTGACCTTCTTCACCACTCTCTCTCTTTGTACTGTTCTCCCCACCTATTCCACCTTCCTCAGGATCCACTGATTTCCCTCTTTCCTACTCACTCTCTCTCTTTCTTAACATTTTTAATCACAATTGTCTGTTTTTTGCTCATTTTAAATATATTTTTAACCATTTTCTAAATTATTTTTTATATTTTTACATTTTTTGTTTTTGTGAAGCGCCTCGTGATTTTTATCTTGAGAGGCGCCATAGAAATGATACTTTCTTCTTCTTCTTCTTCTTCTAAATAACATATGAAACTTTGTTGGGGCTCACAATGGCCCAGGAGCCAAACTCAACCCCTGGATGAAGCCCTACATTGGCAAGGCTGGCTTGCCTCGCCTAGAACGCTGTCTGTGAGAGGTACAGGATCCCCGTGAAGTCTTCCCGAAGAAGAGTTTAATCTGCAGAAATGGTTGGATTTTATCATCAGGAGCTCTCAAAAACTGAGCCAGAACATGATCATGATTTCAATGACTGCTTGGTAAACCCCCACCAGCACCTCCGCCAGTACCTCTTCAAACTGGTTTCATTCTAACGTTAAAACCACTCAATGGAGAGGTCAGAATGGTGAGAACAACCAAAATGCTAACCGCTAACCGAATGGTTATAAAGTCAAGTCAGCGAGTGTCAAGACTAGACGAGGAATTTGTCACCATCCCAGCTGCCTTGTCCGTCTGAGGTGTGTGTGTGTGTGTGTGTGTGTGTGTGTGTGTGTGTGTGTGTGTGTGTGTGTGTGTGTGTGTGTGTGTGTGTGTGTGTGTGTGTGTGTGTGTGTGTGTGTGTGTGTGTGTGTGTGTGTGTGTGTGTGTGTGTGTGTGTGTGTGTGGTGGGTGTCTCACCCATTGCCGCTGAAGTGAAACGTCAGCTCTCTGCTACTCTAAACACACATCTGAACACACATTCCTTTGTTTTGTGGAAAATCTGAACTACAATAATAGCAACTATATAATTATGGGTTACATTGAATTCTGTACTTATGTAACAGTAACAAATAAACTCCACCAGGGGGCAGCAGACATGTACAGGACTGGATAAGGCAGGTTTCTGATGAAGGTACTAATCTTGATGCTCTATCTGGAGGCTTTAAGGTCAGAAGTGGTTTGATGGGAATTTAGTCTCCAAGGAATTTATGGAAAAATAACTAGATATCAGCTAAATCACATTTTAAAATTCCAATTTTAGATTTAACTTGAATCTTTCCTGCCCGCTCTGCTCGCTGGAGTATTTTAACTTCTGCTTTGAATCTGCCGAGTTTCTAACAAAGTTAAAGTAAAATCCCTGATTTGATGAGTCAGCTCTGACTCACAAACTCAGAGACGTTTCTCAGCCTTGAGTTTCTGCCTTGTGTGGAATCTGCTGGCGGTGACGATGGTATTTCATCACCAAGAGTGAAACTAAAGCGGCACAAACAAACACACACGAGGCATCATTTCAGTTTTCCAATAAAAACGGTTTTCTATCTGTTGCTGAAATGTCCCAGAGAAATGCTTCTGATAAGCGGATAATACCAAGTACTGAAAAGGGTTTGAACTTTTACTTACTCTGTGTTATTGTATGTTCACCCAAACCCAGCCGATGAAATTTAAATGTACACGACTAAAATGTAACCTTCTCAGGCTCAAAATAAGTTTTGATAAAAGGACGAACTAAGTCCTTCAGGGGAACTTCTAAGTTAAAAAATGCTCATGAAGTACGTGTGTGGAGTAACCAGGTAGGTAGATTTTAACGTTGCTAATCTGCAACGCCTGCCTCCAGAGGGTTTAAAAAATCTATGAAACATTTATAGCTCATTTGTTTTGTGAAGACATAAACGTGCAAAGGACTTTAGTTAGAAAATTCAGAAAGGTGCATCAAAAGTTTTAAGGGATTTTTGAAGTTCATTTTAATAAAAGGGTCATAATCAAGATCTTACCGGTGTCCCAGGTGTCTCTCATGAAGAATGATCTTTCTACTTCATCCAGTGATACTGAGCTAAACGCTAGCCCCATCGCCACCAGGGCCAAAGTGTCACCTTAAATCAGACCCACATTGTTTTATACATCTTGACATATCTAGCTGTTTCACAGCTGAGGGTTATTGGTAGAAATATAAAGTCATTCCCACTGGATTTGCCCGGTTAGCAACCACGGAGCTCCATACAAACAACCAAGTAATGTTAAAGTAGTGTTTGATCTACTTTCATCACAATTATGACTTAGCGTGTTTAATCAATACATTAGCAGCAGTCTCTAGTAGGAACGTTCTTGGAGGGAAAAAATATAGCTGTACACCATTTCTTGGATCTAAACGTTGCCCACATCACAGCTGAGCTTCACACGACAGGTTTTGTAGTCTTATTTCCTGACATGTGGACATCTCTCCTCTGATTGGCTAACAGCAACACGACTCTACCACTGTCTGCTCTACAACACTGAATTATCTCCACAAATAACACAAGCCTAGAGGAGTTCTGCTGTGTGGTGGAGTTGCTAACGCTAACAGTTAGCTTCTACTAGCAGAGACGTTCTCTGCTGTTTCCTGGACGCTAAACCAACAACAGCCTTCCCCGTCGTGAGTCAAGATGGGTGAGTCCACGAACCTTAAGTGACGGTGTGACATAGATCTGTCAGCTTTTCTAATCCTAGAGTTTCACCGTCTGTTTTCTTTCAGAAGCTACTGCAGGAGAGGAGACTATTTTCATGTTCAGCCTGTATGAAACACTCAGAGTGACCCGTTAGAATCATTAAAACATTAAAAGTGGGGTTTCAGTGGATTTATAGATGTAGGTTAATATTTTAGATCAGACTTATGTTATTTAAAAATGCATGCAGGACACGTACATGTGGCCCAGACCTTTTGCTGCAGCTGTAAACCTAATTTTACATAATTAAGAACACGAAAGTAAACAAAATACAACTATTCACAATACTAGCTACCTTGTTTTACGTGTTGGAGTGGCGTATGCGGAACACCGTTCTTCACTGTCTGAAGGAGAGGATTTGGATTTTCTGTAATGATTTATGACAAAACGGAAGACTGAACCCAGTTCAAATTTACATAGATGGTAAAGTGTAGTTACACTCAATTTCTGGCCAGTACCTTGAAAAAACTGACATAAACATGAGCTGATGAGAAGTTTGGGACATTAGAGCACTTATTCTGATGTAGATGTAAACTCCCTTTCTCCAAACTGAGGCTGTTCAAGAAGCTTTTTAATTTGACTGATATTTTCATTAATTCTATAATAAAACACATGAGAACCGCTCACTAATTTCCCTTTAAGTGACATGAAAGTGAGTTTATTCTTTAGCGTTAGTCTGTTTGTTTACCCAGGATGTTTTGGTCATCAGTTTCTGATTGAGTCAGAACATCTGAGAGAAAAAGCCTTCAGATGAAATCAGCGCCAGGCCGAAACAGGAAGCATGTCACCAAACCCCGGAAGAAAGGTGCGTCTCTCCATATATGTCAACGTTTATGTAAATGAGTGACGTCAGACATCGGTGTTATAAATTAACCTCGGTGAGAGCGGTTTCAGTCACACAACAACCCGCAGGAGGATCACAAGCTGCGTTTTTACTGGAATCAGACGTCCTTTGTTGTTTGTGCGCGTGCTCGTTAAGTTTCTGTCCGAACAGGTTCGCCCGGACACACCTGCGACAGGTAGAAGAAGGAAGTAGCGTCGACGGCGCTCCCCACTCAGCTCGTGACCTTCGTGAACAACAGAAGGACAGAAAAGAGCTTTTAGAAGAGGAACGACTTCTGTTGGAGTTCATTATTTGTGTCTTCATCATGAAACTGTGGATTTTCCTCCTGGTGGCCGGATGTGCCACCCTGGTGACCGCTCAGTGTAAGTTATCACCTTGTTTTAATCAAGAGCTCGGACTCTTGACCTGCTTTAGCAGAGGAAATATGAAGAATTTCCATTTGAAATCTAATTAAATCTTTTAGAATATTCTTTAGTTGAATTTTTGGGTTTTATTTAGTGTAATTTATTTAAAATGTTCCTTTAGAAGCTGCTGGGAGAGAAAAACTTCCGGGTTGTTGGTGTGGGGGTTGGGAGGGTTTGCTTTGCTCTTAGGGACTTGAGGGAAACCAACGCCCAGGTGTTAAATAAACCTCCTCAGCTCTAACCTCTACCTGTTCAGGTGTTTAAATACAGTATTGCTACTCTTTACATGTTTTATGTGGCTTGTTAACTTTAGTTAGAGGGGGGGGGGGGGGGGGGGGGGATTCATCATAATCAGATTGCAGATAATTAACTTTTTACATAAAAGCTTTAAATCGAGCTACAAACTAATTTTTTGTCCTTATTGTTTTTGTTCAGGTCCTCTGTGCACCACTATGAAATGGGGCAGATGTGAGCAGAATGACCAATCCCAGTGCGGCTGTTTCCTACTAGTTGATGATGGACGACCACAACCGATCGACTGCTCTACATGTAAGTAGAGTGTTTGATTTAATTCTCCATCTTTTGGTCATGTAGCTGATGAACTTGGCACGTTTTTTATATTTTCCTCCCATCAGTGGTGCCCAAATGCTTCCTGATGAAGGCAGAGATGTACAGAGCCCGGAAAGGCCAGTCCACCCGCAGCATCGGAGGAAAACCCGTTGAGACGGCCTTCTTGGACAATGATGGCATCTACGATCCAGAGTGTGAGGCAGACGGCAGATTCAGAGCAAGGCAGTGCAACAATACCGAAGAGTGTTGGTGCGTCAACAGCGCTGGTGTCCGCCGATCTGACAAGGGTGATAAGAGCATGAACTGTAGTCAGCTGGTGGAGACCTAGTGAGTAAATCTACAGTTTGGTCTGAACGTAGGATGAACGCTCGGTGTGTCTGTATGATTATAAAACATCTTTTTCCACAGCTGGATCCGTTTTCAGCTGACCCACAAAGAGGTGTCTGGACAAATAAACGACAAAAGTTTGAAGAAGTAAGTATTTACTAGAAAACCACCATGTGGTGTCTTTTTTTATTTATTTTGTAAAGTCTCATCTGGTTTTCTTTCCTGCAGCTCTCTTGGTGCAGAGATGAAAAGTCGTTACGGTCTTGACCCAAGTTTGATTGATAATCTCCAGGTGAGTTTTGCCCACGATGGGACGTCTGTGCCTGGATCAGTAAAGGAAACGTTATGAAAGCACACCTTTACGATGCTGATGAGTTTGGTTTTTTGCAGTACGACCCAGACGCACGCATGATTGTGATGGATGTGAAGAAACCCAAGGGGGATCGAGCGATCGACTTGGGTCGTATGGCGTACTACATGGAGAAAGACGTACGCTGCTGTCTTTGTTCCTCCTGGTATGTTATGAATGCAAAGGCTAAATGAGTCTAATGATTTCCTCCTTGCAGGTGAAAATCCTCCCCCTGTTCTATAACGACTCCAAAAAGTTCATCACTAGTGTGGATGGGCAGAGCCTGGGGATGGAGAACATCCTGGTGTACTACGTGGATGAGGTCGCTCCGACCTTTACCATGAAGAACCTTTCAGGTGGGATCATCGCGGTCATCGTGGTCGTGGTGTTGCTTGTGGTTGTGGGTCTGCTGCTCCTGGTGAGTGCTCCTTTTGGATTTGAGTAACATTCCGTCCTAAATAAAATAACCTACTGTTAATTTGTGGTGTTTGTAGTTCTTGTACAGACGACAACAGAAGAAAAAGTACAAGAAGACGCCGGTAAGTTGAACTTCCTCTCCTGTTCTGTCTGGCTGTGAAATAATTTCCACTAATAAATTTATTTTGTTTTCTTTCCAAATCCAGCAAAGGGAGCTGGACAACATGTAAAGCGTTTGGTTTACGGAGTCGTCTACAGAGTGTGCCTCGTTATTTTACAAGCGTGCGGAATGAAGACAGAAATCTGTGGGTTTTTTAGCTAGTCCCCCCCCCCTCCTTTATTTTTTTTTTAATAAACACTGCGTAGCATCTTTATTGAATTACTCTGTATGTCAGGTCTCAGATTCATTGTAAATGCCATGATGAGTTTTAAACATGTTGGTAGGAAATTCTGTGTCATTGTACAGTTTTGTTTGAATTGTTTAAATAAACACTTTTAAAATACTTGCAGTGACTTCCGTGTTGTAATGTTATATTTGTGACCTAGTTATGGTTCAGTCTGGTCTCTAACGGTCATTTCACGTTTCTGTAGAATAACCGACAGCTGTGAGAAATGACAGAAGCTACTGTTTTTGATGCAGATTTTTACTGAAGGTTTTAGATGTAAACTGGGACTTGGACACATCTAAAAATGTCCTGCTAACAAGTAAATGCTGACAAGAGGCCGTTAATTTGTCACGATAGAAGCTGTTGGGTCTCGGCACACCCTTGTCTTCTCCTTCCAGCTCTCGTCTCCATGGCAACAATAACCGGTTTCTAGCTAGTTCAGGCAGGTCGGGTTTCGTATATCTCCTCCCTTCCCCCTCTCGTGTGAAAAGCCTGCAGGAATGTAGGTGAACACCTCTCTGGTTGCAGGTATGGGCATGTCAGTTTAGTTTGCACCAATCAAGAAGGTTCGTGGCTGAAGTAGGAAGAGAACAGGTGAATTTAGGGTGGATTTTCCTAGAACTGGTTGCGCCATCGTTACTCAGACACAGCTTTATTGTGTTTTATATCAGTAGAGAAAGCGGAAGCTTCTGTTTGAGAAGAGGCAGAGTGCTTCACTGTCATAAATGATCAAAACACCAGTCGTGTATGGAATCTAATCGCATGACTAGTCTTTCACTCTACAGCGAAGGTCTGAAGGATTTGTGTGATTAAAGTTTTACTGTCCTGTTTATTCAGTAACCTGAAGTACACAGAACCCAAACCGACCTGTAGCACAACCAACTCAACAAACCCACCAATGGTCCTATTCATTGCCAATCATCAGATTTTGTTAGCAAACCATGATCTCGTCAACCACTGGGAACATTCTGAAACTTTAAGGAAGTAATTGTTGGATGTTTGATTACATTTTGCAGTTGGCCTGATTAAAGATAGCCGCCACAGCTGACTCATCTTAGAGATCACAAGTATGACTATAAATCAGTTTTAATAAAAATCAGCATATGAGGTGATGGTGGCTGAGATTCTCGATGCTGTGTCCCCTTGTGTCCCCTGAAGAGGACATCAGCTTCTTAGAATGTTTGAACTCAAATCTGCTTATAAAACATTTGGAACTGTTGGAATTAACTTACCTGGTGAGCCATCCTACTGTATAAATGAACACTTGTATACTCTGGCAACAACCCGTAGGAAAGTTCAGTCGTGGGGTGGGCTCTAAAGTTGTCTTTCAAACCGTCTCCACATGCTATTGGACAACTTCTTCTTCTTCAAACAACATACTCACTGCTACGGCTGTCGGTCAACAGGGCAGTACTCTAAGAAATTTCTGTCTTCACTCATAGAAAAGCCAAGTCTAAATACTCCAAAGTTGATGCCAACGCCGTTTTTAACGAGCCGTCACCATCTTAGTTTATTTGCTCAAAGTAACATCCCACTCGTCAAACCCGAAGGGCGCTGTGATCGGTAAGACACAAGACTGCTCGGTTTGCTTCCAGTGGAGCATCGCTAGACCAACCTGCAAAGCAAAATCATTTGGCTTCTGCTACGGTCTGTCTAGGCTAGGAAAGTAACCATTTTTCTGTTAGCAAATACAGATGAGACTGAAACTTTGAGAAAGTAATTGTTGGATGTTCATCCTCAACTGATTTCATTAAGACCTGATTCAAGATGGCCGCCACAGCAAGTCAAGGATAGCAAACACAATAGCTGCCAATTTTAAACATTGCATTTATACTCATTTTAGTATTTTATGGTTGAGGAAAGCAGAGGAGTTACAGGTGAAACCTGAAAAACTAGAACATGGTGCAAAAGTTAATTTATGTCAGTAACTCAACTTAAAGGTGGAACTAAAATATGAGACAGACTCATTCCAGGCAAAGCCAGATGTTTCAGCCTTTATTTGTTATAAATGTGATGATTATGGCTTACAGCTCATGAAAGCCCCACATTCTCTCAGAATATTGTGAAAAGGTAGCATTTTCTAGACTCAGAGAGTCTGATGAATCCAGAACACCTGCAGGGGGCTCCTGGGTTTCTCAGTCTGAGTTAGATTGCTGACATAAATTAACTTTTACACCATATTCCATTTTTTTGAGTGTGATCATTATGTTCTTGCTCTGTACCCGAAGGATCTGTCGTTGTCGTGACCAGGCTTGCCTGCTGTTGGTTTGAAGTGAACCAGCGGCGCCTGGTGTGTTCGGCAGACCCACTTCTTTCAGTACTGTGGCTACTCATTGCCAGTGTGTGTGGATGAATTACATTTATAAAGCGCTTTGGGGGGTCTAGGACTCTAGAAAGTAAGGATGATCTCCCTTATCTGTCCAGAAAACAGAACACGTGTGAGGGTTTTCCTGAAACCACCAGGGACCTAAATATCACATGGGGTGGCTGTTGTTGACATCTTATGACTTTTATTGTTAAAGGTGTAATTCTTAAGAATGACATCTTGTGGTCAAACGTGATTATTGCGGTCTATTTTCATAAACAAAGGGTGACGATATTAAAGTAAAACAAAAAGATGCTGTGGCTTCTTACGAGAAGTAACTTCTGGGTCGCTCCTGTTTACTGGCTTCGGTTCTGTAAACAACTCTGGAGCTTTGTGTCTGCTGGTGTCAAATTACAAATGCTGGCGCTGCTGCATTAGCTCGCTGTAGATTTAGCAACTTCACAAACTTTGTAAATAACAACTTTGTCCCACTTTCACTTTTTTTTTTCAAAAGAATAAACACAGACACACACATGGCTGAGAAGGAAGACTGTGTCAGTATAACCTTCCTTCCAGCATGACTGAGACTGTGTTGTGATTATTTCACTGTAAAGTTGTTACAACGAACTCTTACATGATTCCTAGCACTGGTGCTGTTTGTTACCAGTGCTAGGAATCCCTTGCTGGACCACCAGTCCCAGTACCAGTGAGCACCAGGGGCAGTGATGTAAAACCGTTGTTGAAGGTGAGTTTGTTGCTCCCATTCTTGAATCAAGGACAGGACAACATTGCCACTAGCTCCTACATCTGGCAGACCTGGGGGTTTCACGGCTCTCTGTGGAGATTTACCAACACACCATCTGAACCAGTCATGAGGAGAATCTCGTAAACCCGTTTTCTTGGTTTTTTTGGTAGGTATGTCCTTAGTCTATGCCTTCCCTTGAATGGGACCATTTGTTCATCAATGGCCAGCTTCTCAGCCTTTGGGTAAGAGGTCAGCTTAGAGGATAACTCAGAAACCAGTGGTTGGACCTTGTTCAGTAGATATTAATTTTCCTCTTCTCTTTATTGAAGTACAGGCATTTTAGCTTTTTTCCATAGTCTGAACATGCAAATAATAAAAAGTATCAAAATATTTTTTTTTACATTTTCATCCATCCATGTCTGTACCCGCTTATCCATGCAGGGTCGCTGGGGTCTAGTGCCTACCTCCAGCAGTCTCTGGGCCAACATGCAGGGTACACCTGGGCATATTGCCGGTCCATCGCAGCCTTAACCCTCTCACTGTCTTTAGGGGTGACCCCACGAGGAAAGCTGACCATTGAGCAGGATTGATGGTTTATCCCTTGAGGTCCATGTGGCAGGGGTGAGGTGGTGCTCACTCCTCACCTCTGCCACATGGATCCATGGGATAAACCATCAACCCTGCTCAAGGGTCAGCTTTCCTCGTGGGGTCACCCATAAAGACAGTGGGAGGGTTAAATATCCTGCACATGAATATATTTGGACATGATAAAAGTTGCATTCAGTTTACCAATAGGTGGCAGTGGGAGTCATGCAACTCTGCTTCAAGCAAAGGACTTCTCCTTGCCAAGACAAAAGGTCACATGCCCTCTTTTTAATTAAACTAAATTAAAGTTTATTTATATAGTGTCAAATCACAACAAGAGTTGTCTCAAGGCTCTTCACACAGTAAACATTCCAATACAGGTCTGGGGTCTCATTTATCAAGCTCGCTTACGCACAACACGGGGTCGGAAAACTGCGTAGGCAACTTTCCACGCAAACTTTGGGATTGATGAAAGAAAACGTAGCGGAAAAATGTGCACAACTTTAAGTTGACTAAGGACCTGGCTTACACACATGTTGGACATGGAGAGCACCTGCAGTGCTGCTGCTGAGAAGATACAATTATGAAATCCTGCAGCATTATCACTTGTACCCCTTTGTTTTCTCACAGAACAAGACCCCCCACATGCACACACACACGCGCGCCCGCACACACATACACGCACGCGCACACACACACACACACACACACACACACACACACACACACAGCCTGAAGTGCAGAATATCAGCAGGGGGGTCAGATTGAGACGGAATGTCATGCGTCTGTGACAGTGTGTGTATCCTGTCACTGTGACCCGACTGATCATGCACAAGGGCTAGTTGTACAGGGGAGATCTCTGTTTGGGTGACTGGTTGGCGTGACTTTCACCTGGGAGTCTGGGGATCGAATCCCGATTGGACCATTTTGTTATATCCGCCACAGATCTCTCTGAAGAATTCACAACATTGACGGCTTCAGCAACGCTGTGCCACTCCGTGGATTTTCTCTTATTTGTTTTGCAAAAGCACTTCCTTTCATTTCTCCACCTCACCCACAAGTACCTCAACTTCTGCTTGTGAAATAGCACTTCCTTGATCTGCAGTCATGATTGAAATGCTGCAACAGCCGGCTTATGTATATGCATGAGATCCACAAGGCACTTTGCATTGACTATTTATGGCAGTAAGTGGGCGTGGTGAGGGCGAGATGTGACTAAAATGCAGCTGAGAACCTTTCTAGATAGTTTCCGATTTATGAAGCGGAGATTGCGTGCAGCTGTGTACTCCATGTTTGATAGATCACAAACCTACTTGGCTTAAGTACATTTTTTTGCTGAGCTTAAGTACGGTTTTAGTAAGGATTCTACCAATGTTTGATAAATGAAACCCCTGGTCATTAAGCCAATCAGTAAAAGTTTCCTGTGTGAGAAACCCAGCAGGTTGCATCGAGTCAATGACTAGTGTCAGAGTCTTTACAGCAATCCTCATACTAAGCAAGCATTCAGCGACAGTGAAGAGGAAAACTCCCTTTTAACAGGAAGAAACCTCCAGAGGATCCTGGCTCAGTATAAGCAGCCATCCTCCACGACTCACTGGGGATGGAGAAGACAGAGCAGACACACACACACACACACACACACACACACACACACACACACACACACACACACACACACACACACACACACACACACACACACACACACACACACACACAGAAATTCTAAGTAGTAATTCTATGGTTACATTGTGATGTCTTAGTAAATATTCTATTTGGCGAGAGATAAACTTTATTGTATTAATCCTAGTGAATCAATAATAAAACGGGTAAACTAGTAGTAGCACATTCAATGTCAAGGAAAGTAAAATGTTATTATCAGGAGAGGGAGAATGTTTAAGTGGTTAGCAGCAGTGTGTTAGACGATGGCCCCCTTCATGAGGGCACCACAGCTCAGCAGAACATCATTGTAGCTTCTTCTGGGGAGAAAAACACAGAGGAAAAATAAAGTTAACAGCTGAAATAGCAAGAAATAATACAGTTAAACAGATTGTAGAAGAAAGTAGTCGAGTGTGGAAAGTGGTCAGTTTGTCCTCCAGCAGTCTAAGCCTATAGCAGCATAACTACAGAGATAAATCTGGATTGCCTAGCCTTTTTAGATGGAGGCATGTTGGAGGCAGGGCAAGGGAGAGCCGTCTTCACCTCCCTCTACTCCCCCACTTGTCCAGATCGGGGCTAACATCAGATTTTAAGCATAGGCCCTATCAAATAAAAATGTTTTAAGCCTAGTCTTAAAAGTAGACGAGGTGTCTGCCTCACAGACTAAAGCTGGGAGTTGGTTCCACAAGAGAGGAGCCTGATAACTAAAAGATCTGTCTCCCATCCTATTTTTAGATATTCTGCGAACCACCAGTAAACCTGCAGTCTGAGAGCAAAGTGCTCGGTTAAGAATGTACGAAACAATCAGATCACTGATATATGATAGGGCTTGATTGTTAAGAGCTTTATATGTGAGAAGGAGGATCTTTTTAACTACATTCTGTGGACTTCCCGAGAGTAATGAATTACAGTAATCCAGTCTTGATTTAATAAATGCATGAACTAGTTTTTCAGCATCAGTCCTGGAAAGGATGCTTCTAATCTTAGCAATACTCCAAAGGTGGAAAAAGGAAATCCTACAAACCTGTTTAATGTCGGATTTGAATGACATGTCCTGGTCAAAGATAACAACAAGGTTTCTTCCAGGTGGACCTCAAGGGATAAACCATCAACCCTGCTCAACGGTCAACTTTCCTGGCAGGGTCACCCAATAGGACAGTGGGAGGGATAAATAAAATATTTAGAAATACTTCCACTGACTTTTTATTTAAGGGGGAAGTTTTGGCTTGGATTTGCTCTTTGTGGCTCAGTTATTTTTCAGTCTCGTCTCAGCTAACCTTTAAATGTTCCTGTAGAGGCTGCACAGACAGCTGTGAGAAACGGCTGAAGCTTTATCATGTGGACATGCTGCTGACTTGAGTCTGATTTCTACAGAACAGATAACAGCTTTAACATCTGACTGTTGTGTTGATGATGTAACCAGGTGCAGACATGAGGAGACAAGGGTTTGGTTGGAAAAACGGTTTAATCAAGAACTTGATTTAGACAGGAAACAATATGATCTGATATCAAACCATTTTTTACCTCCCTAACCTTCGCTACATCTGGCTGATTCTGGTTCAGCTTCTTTATGCTGCCAGTGATGCCCGAAGCAATTTTCCAATGCAAATGAAAAATTCCATTAGCCATGCATGCAGAGATAAGCAAACTGAACTGAAACCTCACAGCTCCTGTTTCTCTTTCCTCCTAAACACCAAATATGTCACACAAGCGTAACTTCCTGTTGGTTTATTAAGGCGACATGAAGGCAGGCAGAAGTTTCAACACTACTGTATACTGTTAAATATACTTTACAGGGCTCTCACACCATTGCCAAGATCCGATTCAAGCACTTCCCATGGGACATATTCCTGCACCGTGTATGATTTACATTATAATGAGGCTAAATCTAAAATAAAATTATTTCACCGATGCTTTATGTGTATTTCCTCATATTTAATTCAAATTTTACATCAGGATTAGCATAAAATGACCATGAAATGATTAGGACTTTTATTCTAGTGCACATAAATGCTACTAACTTTACTTTATTTTCTTGTAAAGGTAACCGTCAGCAACTCGATGCAACCTGCTGGGTTCCTCACACAGGAAACTTTTACTGATGGGCTTAATGACCAGGGGTCTCATTTATCAAACATTGGTAGAATCCTTACTAAAACCGTAGTTAAGCTCAGCAAAAAAAAAAAAAGTATGTACGCCAAGTAGGTTTGCGATCTATCAAACATGGAGTACACACAGCTGCACGCAATCTCCGCTTCATAAATCAGAGACTAACGGGAATGTTTCTCAGCTGCACTTTAGTCACATCCCGCCCTCACCACGCCCACTTACTGCCATAAATAGTCAATGCAAAGTGCCTTGTGGCTCTCATGCATATACATAAGCCAGCTGTTGCAGCGCTCCTTCAATGACATGGCGACAGCAGATCAAGGAAGCGCAATTTCACACAAGCAGAAATTGAGGTACTTGTGGGTGAGGTGGAGAAGTGAAAGGAAGTGCTTTTTGGAGGTCACAGCAGTGGCATAACAAATAAGAGAAAATCATCAGAGTGGCACAGCGTTGCTGAAGCCGTCAATGCTGTGAGTTCATCAGGGAGATCTGTGGCGGATTTAAAAAAAGAAATGTTCCAATTGGATTCGATCCCCAGACTCCCAGGTGAAAGTTATGCATGCTAACCGGTCACCCAAACAGAAATCTCCCCTGTCCAAGTAGCCAGGGTGCATGATCAATCGGGTCACAGTGACAGGACACACACTGTCACAGATGCATGACATTCTGTCTCAGTCTGTCCCCCTGCTGATATTCAGCATTCTGCGCTTCAGGCTGTGTGTGTGTGTGTGTGTGTGTGTGTGTGTGTGTGTGTGTGTGTGTGTGTGTGTGCGTGTGTGTGTGTGCGTGCGTGCGTGTGGGGGGTCTTGTTCTGTGTGAAAACGAAGCAGTACAAGTGATAATGCTGCAGGATTTCATAAATGTTTCTTCTCAGCAGCAGCACTGCAGGTGCTCTCCACGTCCAACATGTGTGTAAGCCAGGTCCTTAGTCAACTTAAAGTTGTGCACATTTTTCCGCTACGTTTTCTTTCATACAGTAAATCCCAAAGTCTGCTTGGACCCCGTTTTGTGCGTAAGCAAGCTTGACAAATGAGGCCCCTGAATGTTTACTGTGAGAAGGTTCTTGAGACGACTCGTCGTGATTTGGTGCTATATAAATAAACTTGACTGTACTACGGCCGATATAGGTTACAGTAACAAAACCTTGTAAAAATAAATGCATTTTCAATGACGTCAAGCACCTGTAAGAACCCTGGTTTTTAACTAAAGGAATGTAAAGATTGCCCTTTAAACCCCACCAACAACAGCTGGAAATGTCCCGAGTGTTTTGACACAAAGCTGAAGTAAACAAAACCTCTTAGCTCGTTTTCTACTGAAGTGCTCGGCTCCTCGGGAACTTTACGGCTGCTTTAGAAAAAAGGTGAGGAATGTTCAGGTGGAGTCTGTCTTTAGGAACCTGCCGGTAAATAGTTTGTTAATCTAATTAATGGAGACTCATATTTGCGTGTCGTCACAGCCGTGTGGGAGCTTTGCTGGGATGTTCCAGAGGAGGAGATTTGCTCCGCAGGTCTTTGCTTTTCAGGCTGATGGGCTGCGCCACCATCAGAGCCGGGGCGGAGAGATGGTGGGCGATGGCCTTTTGCTGATGAGCGCTGTTGATGTAACTGGAGATGAGGAGGGTGATCTCCCTTATCTGTTCAGAAAACAGAACACACGCATGAGGGTTTTCCTGAAACCGTCAGGGACCTAAATATCACATGGGATGGTTGTTTTACATGGGACATATTATGACTTTTATCCTTAAAGGTGCAATTTGTATAAATGGTCAAATGTGATTACTGCAGTTCATTTTTATAAAACAAAAGATGCTGTGGCTCCTAAGGAGTACAAGCTTCTGGGTCGCTCCTGTTTACTGCTTTTAGTTCTCTAAACAACTCTGGAGCTTTTTGTCTGCGGGTGTCGAATTACAAATGCCGGCGCTGCTGCGTTAGCTCGCTACACACCCGGCAACCTGACTAGCTCAACCCAGCATCCCGGATCAGAAGCTGTGATGATTCAAGTGCGATAGTCTGGCCACAGAGGACGATAGGGGCTGGGTGACAGGGGCTATACTGACACAGTCTTCCTTGGTGGTGTTTTTCTCTGTGGTCGCTACGTTTCCTGGAGACCTGAGGATGTCCTAAGATGACATCACACGCACATCACTCACTTTGGGAGCGTCCATTGCAAACAGAAGCTTCTCTGTGGGTCTGTCCTTGCTGGGGTCTGTGCCGCTGCAGTGACGCACCACCAGCATGAAGTCTTTCTTGCAGCCTCCAAAGGTCATCAGGTTCTTATAGGAGTAGGACAGCAGCAGCTTCTGATAAAGACACACAGCATCCGAGTTACCAGCTGAAATGCTTTAATTTCCACAAGCTGAAGACCCGTTAGAGCAGCGCGGCTTACGATGCTGTTGTGGTCCAGAACGCTGATCCCGTTTTCGTGCACAGCCAGCCACACACTGGCATTCGGCTCTAGGGAAGAAGTGACGCACTAAAGACAAGAATAAAATATACATTATACTAACATGGCTGCTGGAATCCCATCAAACACAAACAACAGGATGTAAAAGTATTAAAACAATAAAGAAAAACTTCTCTTCACTTTTTTAAATGATCTTAAGGAATTTAAGGAAACCAGATATTTAGCTACTGTAAGGATCATTCCTGCTGATGACATCACTCAGAAACAGGAAGTAGTCCTCTAACCAGATGACCCTTTGCACCTACGTCACCTAATCGCGTGGGTCCGCCATACTGGACGGCAACAGCATGGAAACAGTGAGCGACACAAGTACAAAGGGAAAAGTAGAGCCTGAAATTGTTTTTGCAATCTTTAGCATTCCCTCTACTAGTTCGAGCTCATCTTCAGTTATCAGAAGTAGCGCACCTAGATGGGGCTCACAGACAGCGGTATTTACAAAAGTTAAGTGTTATTAACACCGGGAAAGGGTGGCTTGCCAACTCCGGGTCGGGAGAGAGGTCCTACCTCAAGTGGAGGAGTTTAAATATCTCGGGGTCTTGTTCACGAGTGAGGGTAGGAAGGATCGGGAGATCGACAGGCGGATTGGTTCGGCATCTGCAGTGATGCGGACGCTGAGCTGATCTGTCGTGGTGAAGAGGGAGCTGAGCTGAGCCAGAAAGCCAGGGTCTCGATTTACCGGTCGATCTACGTCCCAATCCTCACCTGTGGTCATGAGCTTTGGGTAATGACCGAAAGAACCAGATCGCGGATACAAGCGGCCGAAATGAGTTTCCTCCGTAGGGTGGCCGGGCTCAGCCTTAGAGATAGGGTGAGGAGCTCGGACATTCGGGAGGGACTCGGAGTAGAACCGCTGCTCCTCCGGATCGAAAGGAGCCAGTTGAGGTGGTCTGGGCATCTGGTCAGGATGCCTCCTGGACGCCTTCCCGGGGAGGTGTTTCGGGCATGCCCTGCCAGCAGGAGGCCCCCAGGTCGACCCAGGACACGTTGGAGAGGTTACATCTCCAATCTGGTCCGGGAACGCCTTGGGGTCCTGCCGGAGGAGCTGGTGGAGGTGGCCGGGGAGAGGACGGTCTGGAGCTCCCTAGTTGGGATGCTGCCCCCGCGAACCGGACCGGATAAGCGGAGGAAGACGACGACAAAGTGTTATTAACTAGCTTACGAACGTTAGCTTAAGTTCTCCCTGCAGCCATTTATCGATGTAAATAAGTTGCAGACTTTGCCTACATTCTCCCAAATGGATTTATAACATTATGTTATGAACAGCGTTTCACTTTACACCGAAGCGGATTTAAAAAATGTCCGGATCCCTACTAGTTTTTGTGGCTGGTGGTGTCACCGCATGTGCAGCTGCTGCTCTCACACTGGGATGAGAAGATCTCAGAACGGCAACGCTCATATGAATAAATAACATAATTTTAATACACGTAATCATACATTGGAGTAGTAATACTGTAAATAATTATCTCGCATTGCACTACAGTGGACGGTACCACTGTCTCCGGTACCGTGCGTCCTCAGTGGTGAAATATCCATCCATCCAACAGAACGCATCACATTTGCCCTTTTTCTTCCTCGTGAAATAAATAAACGTTAATCGTACCCGGTAAAATCACGTTCGCTGTAAACCTGAGGGCTGCTAGTCCATTTGATTGATCGCTGCAGTTCATCTCCGTCCTCAGTCTCGATCAACGTTATTTGAAAAAACAAAACGAGGTGACTTTACATCCTTGTCTGTTGGTGCAGCAAGTTGTTACCATTGAAATCAATTAAATAAAAGCGATAAAAGGCTACAGACGGCCTTGCTTTGACTAGCTTCACCGGAGTTTCAACATGTGTAATCGGTCTTTTTGCCGTCCATCATGGCGAACGGGGCGGTCCCGTGAGTGGCGTGACGTCACGTGCAAAGGGTCAGTTGTGTTAGGGTTGCATTTCTGGTAACAAATATTGTTGTAACACTAAACTATCTGTTAACTGCTATGGTTCGGCATCAGGGGTCTCATTTATCAAACATTGGTAGAATCCTTACTAAAACCGTACTTAAGCTCAGCAAAAAAATGTACTTAAGCCAAGCAGGTTTGTGATCTATCAAACATGGAGTACGCACAGCTGCACGCAATCTCCGCTTCATAAATCAGAGTCTATATCTAGAATGTTTCTCAGCTGCATTTTAGTCACATCCCGCCCTCACCACGCCCACTTACTGCCATAAATAGTCAATGCAAAGTGCCTTGTGGATCTCATGCATATACATAAGTCGGATGTTGCAGCGCTCCTTCAATGACGATCAAGACAGATCAAGGAAGCGCAATTTCACACAAGCAGAAATTGAGGTACCTGTGGGTGAGGTGGAGAAATGAAAGGAAGTGCTTTTGCAAAACAAATAAGAGAAAATCCACAGCGTTGCTGAAGCCGTCAATGTTGTGTTCTTCAGAGAGATCTGTGGCGGATATAAAAAAAATGGTCCAATCGGGATTCGATCCCCAGACTTTCAGGTGAAAGTCACGCTAACCAGTCAGCCAAACAGAGATCTCCCTTGTCGAAGTAGCCAGGGTGCATGATCAATCGGGTCACAGTGACAGGACACACACCGTCACAGACGCATGACATTCTGTCTCAATCTGACCCCCTGCTGATATTCTGCATTCCGTATTCTGCACTTCAGGCTGTGTGTGTGTGTGTGTGTGTGTGTATGTGTGTGTGTGTGTGTGTGTGTGTGCGAGTGGGGGGTCTTGTTCTATGTGAACACAAAGCAGTACAAGTGATAATGCTGCAGGATTTCATAATTGTATCTTCTCAGCAGCAGCACTGCAGGTGCTCTCCATGTCCAACATGTGTGTAAGCCAGGTCCTTAGTCAACTTAAAGTTGCGCACATTTTTCCGCTACGTTTTCTTTCATAAATCCCAAAGTTTGCGTGGAAAGTTGCTTACGCAGTTTTCCGACCCCGTTTTGTGCGTAAGCAAGCTTGATGAATGAGGCCCCAGGTCTTTAGTTTATGCTGCGGGCTGCAAGGTGGAACAGTTGATATCACTACTGCCTTGTAGCTAAGTTGCAGGTTTGAATCCCGGTTTCTGCGAGGAGTTTGCATGTTCTCCTTGTGCATATCTGGGTTCTCTCCGGGTTCTCCGCTTTCTTTCCACAGACTGAGATCCAAGGACATCGGAATGGTCGGTAATACCGAAAACAACAGTGTATCGTGTCCAGATTCCAATTTGGGTCCGGATTTGATCAGGAGAGAACCATGGGTACCAGATCTGGTTTTAAAACCATCATAATGGTATAAGTGGACTCGTGCAGGACTCTGCTCTAAACTGTCCCTCGCTGTGAGAGTGTGTCCCTGTCAGAGGAGCCTTTTCGCGGGGCCCAATATTTCCTGGGTGCACCCCTGATCCCTGGGACAGACCGGATACCTGTCCAGAGGCGTGCCCTGCCTCTCGCCCGATGACTGCTGTGGACAGACACCAGCTCCCCGCTGCCTCACTGAGCATAAAGTAGCTTAGAAAATAAATAAGTTATTGAGTTTATGCAGTTTGTCTGATTTACTTTGCTGCTGCACGCATACAGTAGTGTAGTAAATCAACAAGACCCTAAGACAGCCACGATAACTTTAAAACTGATGATTAAATGTGGAAAACAAAAGAAAACTCAGTTTATGCTGAAGGTTTTTCTAAAATCCCAGACCCTGTTTGGTGTTTATCTGGGTGTGAACAGTTGTGACGCACCACTCACCACGGCCTGAAACAGTTTAGCACCAAAGAAGGGCCACTTCCTGGCAACGGTCAGGTAGATCCTGACGCACTCTGATGAACTCCGACCTCTGAGGGAGGACCACCGCGCAGACAGATGCTGCAGCAGCTGTCTGAGAAAGAGAAACAACACATCTGTCACAGTGCTCTCTCACTCACACTCACACACACACACACACACACACACACACACACACACACACACACACACACACACACACACACACACACACACACACACACACACACACACACCGTGTGTATAACAACAGGAGTTAAGGAGATCACGGAGAAAAGCCGAAGGAGAATATTATAATATTGATATTTTATAATTATTATGTTATACATTATTACAACCCTCATTGTTCTAGATGAATAAAAATATAAACAAAATAATTTCTTATTTCCATTTTTAATTTCCAGACCAAGTAAGAGTTTGTATTACATTAAAAGCCCAAAATTAGATACAGTAACAAAAGCGAAGACACGTGATTGGACCTGCAACAACAACAACAACAACCTTCTGCCGGAGGACGGGACGTAAGGAAGTCAAGGCATTGCAAAACAAACCAAACAGGTTTGCTGCAGCCATTCAGAAAGAGAAAATGTCTGCACAGCGAAGCACAAAGAGTTTGTTTTACCTGAGCTGCTCCTCAGAAACAGTCCGTCTGTAATGTTTAGGGTAGAATCTGTCCAGCACTTGTTTCATCGTTTGATAGGATTTGCTTTGGTTTGATCCAGAAGCAGAAAAAGGACGACCGAAATCTCCAAACTCCACCTGCAAACAAGAATAAACATTCCTAGAAAAGGGAAAAACACCTTACGTGGCTTTTATTTAAAGCAGGTGTGCTACAAGCTTTAAGGGGTTTATTATTGGAAACTGTTCTTCGATCCTCTTTTTAACATATGAAACATTGTTTGGGCAAAATGGCCCAAGAGTCCTAATAAATGACCAAACACAACCCCAAGATAAAGACCTATAATGGAAAGGAAGGTTTGCCCCGCCCACTCATCTGGGACAAGAATATTAAATGAGCTGCATACTGATTGGCCAGCTTCCTCTGATGGATAAGACTCGTCCTGAAGCTAGAAACTCTGCGTACAGCAGCCCAGAAGGAAGAGCGGGATGTTCAGCTATCAGAAGGTCGCAGGTTCAATCCCGGCTCCAACCAGAGAATGCTGCTGTTGCTGTTGTGTCATTGGGCAAGACACTCAATCTGCCTTGGTGGTCGGAGGGACCGGTGGCGCCACTTTTTGGCAGCCTCGCGTCTATCAGAGCGCCCCCGGGCACCTGTGGCTACATCGTAGCTCATCCCCACCAGCGTGTGAATGGGTGAATGACTGTGTTGTGAAGGGCTTTGGGTGGTTGTAGAACCCTAGGAAGGTGCTATACAAATACAGGCCATTGACCACATACCATTTACAGCTGTGTTCAGTATCCAGATTACTCACTATGGAAGTAATGGATCAATCTGGCATTCATTCATAGTCTGATTATTCCCAGTACACCCTCCAGGGTGTACACCATGTACACATGTAACGTTCCAATGCCACTGGTGTGCTCCCACATTTTTCCTTGTTGTCTTCTTGACCAGCAAAGACGATTGCCGTTGCTCAGGCTAGCAATAGCAGTTGCTCAGGCTAGCATTAGAAGTAGCTCGGGCTGGCAGTTGCACAGGCTAGTTTTGGCAGTAGCTCAAGCTAGCATTAGCAGTTGCTGAGGCTAGTGTTAGCAACAGCTTGAGATAGCATTAGAAGTAGCTTGGGCTAGCATAAGCATTAACGTAGGCTGGCTTTAACAGTAGCTTGGGATAGCATTAGCAGTAGCCCAGGCTAATGTTTTTCTTCAGTTTGCATTACCACGACCAACGCTTATATATCGCTGATGTTGATGTGGGTTGGGACATGCAAATGTAAGAAGGCATGTCTACGGCTACGTTCACACTGCAGGCCTTGATGTTCAATTCCATTGTGTGTGTGTGTGTGTGTGTGTGTGTGTGTGTGTGTGTGTGTGTGTGTGTGTGTGTGTGTGGCTGTTCACATTATGACTGAAATGAAACTTCAAGCCGTTTTGGGCTGGAAACAGTTTTAAAAACTGTAAAACTATTTTAGTCCTTATTCCCGCCATCTTCCTGAATCATTATTCACTGAAAATGTTTCAGCATTAAATTAATTTACAGGAAACCCCCCCACCCTCACGGAGACCCAGCACCCCCATCCTCATGGAGGCCGAGACGGGTGGGACGCTTCGCTCCAGCAGCTCCTCCCACTCCCGTTCTCATGCTCTTCTGTAATTCCTAAACTTGCAGGATGTCTTGAATCCTTCTGTCAGCACTTCTCAGGAACACCAACACACTCTCCTCCACTGACTTAGTGACATAGAAGGCGGATTTAATGCGACATGAGAGTTCAGACTGCAGTCACATTCAAAAACATCAGATATGTATCAGAATCAGTACCACATATGAAAGTGGCATGGGTCGGATTAGGAAAAAATCGGATCTGTGCTGTTCAGACTGTCATAAAAAAATCAGATATGGGTCACATGTGGGGAAAAACTGGACTTGTTGCGCTGCCTGCAGTGTGAACCTAGCCTAAGCTTATGACATGTTAAAGCAGGTTTTCTCAGATCAAACTATTTCCCAACAGCCTTTCCAATATTAGTAATTTAGATAGGAAAGCAAGTCAGAGGTGACACTGATTTTTTTGGTACATTTGATCTCCCAAGCTGCTGGCAACAACAACAACAACAACAACAACAACAACAAGGAAAATGTGGTTTTGAGTTCTAGAACCCCTTTAAAGAAAACTCGTGTTATCCAGATGAAAAGGGACCTGTGCCAGCAGGGCGGCCATTTCTACAGCCAGTTCTTTGTTAACAGGAAAGTGTCCGGCGATGATGGCTTCGTTGGTCTGATACGCCAGCAGCAGCCTCTCCCGCTCTGACTCTCCTCTTATTTGATCAGAGAAGTACAGCCTGGAGATGGAAAAGCAAAGTGCAGCGATGATAAAACAGAAACAGGGAATGCAGATCAGCTGCTGCCATCCGAGATTTTTAAACGAGCTTCACATTAGAGTTCAGAAACAGTGGAGTTATGGTTGTGTTCCGGTACAAGCTGTCAGCTACCAACACGTACAACAGAAGAAAATATAAACATTTAATCCTTCTTGTTTCCCTGTTTATACGTATTCTTTCTAAAAAGAAAAACACACTCTCACCTGTTCTTGTAGGTGAGTCGGATGGTTCTGGTGTTTTCAGACTTCCCAGAGTGCAGCTCTTTCGAGGCCTGCTCCCATTTGGAGATGATGTCACAAACCTGCTGACGATACGAGACCGCTCAGCGTCTGCAGCCTTCCAAAAGTCACTCATGGAAATAAAAAACACCTTGATGTTTCCTAGCAAACAGTGCTCCAGGTGTCGCCCCGTGGGGTCGTCGGTGTACAGGCTGAAGCCAGAGAGGCCCGTTTTCCTCATCCCGGAGTCCTGGTTCAGGCGACTCTGGAACTCATCCACTGTTGTTGAAGCATCAAAGCTCACCACCTTCAACAGAAGGTCAAAGGTGAAAAGGTAGGGAGAAACTAAATCAGAGTCTCAGTCTGAAAGCAAACAAGGAAAATAGTTTAGAAGCAAACTAGGAAGTAATAAAACACTATTTACACTCACCTAAAGGATTATTAGGAACACCACACTAATACGGTGTTTGACCCCCTTTTGCCTGCAGAACTGCCTTAATTCTACGTGGCGTTGATTCAACAAGGTGCTGAAAGCATTCTTTAGAAATGTCAGCCATATTGATAGGACAGCATCTTGCAGCTGATGGAGATGTGTGGGACGCACATCCAGGGCACGAGGCTCCCGTTCCACCACATCCCAAAGATGCTCTATCGGGTTGAGATCTGGTGACTGTGGGGGTCGTTGTAGTACAGTGAACTCATCGTCATGTTCAAGAAACCAGTTTGAGATGATTGGAGCTTTATGACATGGTGCATGATCCTGCTGGAAGTAGCCATCAGAGGATGGGTACATGGTGGTCATGAAGGGATGGACATGGTCAGGAACAATGCTCCGGTAGCCCGTGGCATTTAAACCATGCCCAGTTGGCACTAAGGGGCCTAACGTGTGCCAGGAAAACATCCCCCACACCATTACACCACCACCACCAGCCTGCACAGTGGTAACAAGGCACGATGGATCCATGTTCTCATTCTGTTTACACCAAATTCTGACTCGACCATCTGAATGTCTCAACAGAAATGGAGACTCATCAGACCAGGCTGAATTTCTCCAGTCTTCAACTGTCCAGTTTTGGTGAGCTCATGCAAATTGTAGCCTCTTTTTCCTGTTTGTAGTGGAGATGAGTGGTACCCGGTGGGGTCTTCTGCTGTTGTAGCCCATCCGCCTCAAGGTTGTGCGTGTTAGCTTCACAAATGCCTTGCTGCATTCCTCGGTTGTAACGAGTGGGCATTTCAGTCAAAGCTGCTCTTCTATCAGCTTGAATCAGTCGGCCCATTCTCCTCTGACCTCTAGCATCAACAAGGCATTTTCGCCCACAGGACTGCCGCTACTGGAGGTTTCTCCCTTTTCACACCATTCTTTGTAAACCCTAGAAATGGTTGTGGGTGAAAATCCCAGTAACTGAGCAGATTTTGAATTACTCAGACCGACCCGTCACCAACAACCATGCCACGCTCAGAATGGCTTAAATCACCTTTCTCTCCCATTCTGAGCTTCAGTTTGGAGTTCAGGAGATGGTCTTGACCAGGACCACAACCCCTAAATGCACTGAAGCAACTACCATGTGATTGGTTGATTAGATAATTGCATTAAGTAGAAGTTGAACAGGTGTTCCTAATAATCCTTTAGGTGAGTGTATGTGGTTGAGAATGAGTATGAGCCACAACTCAAAAACACCCAGACTAACATCAAAAACATTTTGAGATCAATCTTTTAAATGTTTCTTGCTTCAGGTGTTCTGAATTTATTCAGGAAATTCCAGCTTCATATATTTACTCATCTTTGCTCGGGACTGCTTTCCTGACTCCTGGTCCTGAATTTTGACCAACCTGATTAAGTGTGAAAACACGAGCTGTCGGGTTACAAGCTGATGTTTCACGCAAGCCTCAGAACACCAGGAGGAAGTGTGTTGCATTAACTGAATTGAGGTTTTCCTTCTCAAATCTTTTTCTGCTTTTCCTCAAAACTCTCTGTTCTCTTCGCACTCTGAAATGGATTCTTCATAAAACACGTCCACCTCTGGAGGTTTGAGCTCCTTCCCTCTCCTCTCCAGGATTTTTCCCTTTGCTCTTAGATTGAAACCAGTTGATCCTGCCAAAAGTCCCCCAGCCAACAGAAAACCAGATACAATGCTGACTAATGAGCTTGTCACAGTCTTGTTTTGGGTGCGCTTGTTTTATTTACATACTCACCTGGCACGCCCAATGGAAGAAAATACATGGGTGTGTGGCATAGGTGGCTTAACAGAGGAATTAACCCAATAGCATACCTTAAAGGGCGAAGTCCATACGAAAAAGAGCCATGGTTACGAACTGTAACCTCAGATTCTACGAGCATAGGCGCAGCCCTTTAAGGCGGCGGGCCTCACAGGTTCTCCACCAGCCCTTAGAGTCCTCAATCCCTTTTATACCGACTAGAGCCCACCCACTAAGCCGGCATGCACTTAAAGCTCTTCAGTGATTGGTGGATTAACAGAGGAAGTTACCAATATATGATGTCTATGGGGTGTGTGGGGTGCTAAACGTTTGCCAGTGGGAGTCTTAATAAAACGAGCGTACCCAGAGAAGACTGACAAGCTCATTGGTCAGCATCATATCTGGTTTCCTATTGGCTGTGGCGCTTTTGGCAGGGTGAGAATAGGGGTAATTAAATATCTGATAAAGTTTTTTTCCTATTTTCAGGTAGGAGAATCTGTGGATTCACGTTTCCCAATCCTCATTAGAATAACTTCTCCTTCATGTTTAGTGTTTTGGAGATTTTCTACCACAGAAAAGCCCTGAAGGTGTCTGAAACGTGCCTCTCAGCATCAGAGGAACATGCAGGTTTCTGCAGAAGTCCCTCAGCTCTAGGGTTCATCTTTGTCCTAAGCGCCCCCTTGTGGTCAAACATCAAATAGCTTGAGAGGCCTCTGTCTTTCCAAAATGCATTTAAGGAGTATTAACTTTAATTTTGAGGAAGTTTCTGTAACACTAATCCAAGGATTGGCATTTTCAATCAAATTCTTCATCACTCATCTATTTTGGAATAATTCCGCTTCCCGGGGGCACAAGCGTAGGGTCTGGTGTGTCGTGGTGTTGCACCTCTGACGTGCAGATACCGACAACTCTAGAAACAGCATTTGTATTAGTTCCACAAAAAAGAAGAAGGATTCTTGGTAGAAGGTTAATTTTATTTTTGAGTTTAGAGTTTAATCATTAAATTTGTGTTGGGAAATTTGACCATTTTAGTAAATAAATCCAGAGTGACAGAAAACACCTTCAGCCTTCACCAGAGCCAGAGAGCACCTACACCCCACACACTCCACGTGAGACGTGTCATCACAAGCTTTTATATTATATTTACATTTCATCTGATTCCAATGAGAGTTTTTAAAAACACTTTAATCCTTTCATCTTTATTTCTGGAAACCATGAAAACAGAGAAGTGTGGAGCCGTTACACAAACGCACTTCCCCCTGTTGGTTCTGTTTTCCATGTTTTCAGTTTGTTTATACAACTCGTCGCTGACGGGAATCTCTGTCTCACCTGGGCGTGACACCAGTGATGACATCATGGGTAAAGCCTCTAGTGAAGGAATAGTTCAGACCTTTTTATCTCCGGCTCTCTTAGGAGCAGTTGGTGTTTCATCATCGTGTCCTTCTAGGTGACAGCTAATAGTAAATGGAATTTTGTTTTTGTTGTTGTTGTTGTATGAAGAACCTGTCCACCTGCATGGTGATGAGACATAAACAAGAGGCGGACCGTCTGAGCGGTTCCCCCAAATGTGTGATTTTAGACTCAAACATGGGAAAGAGACATCTTAGATGTGCTCCACGCAGCTTTCAGGTGTAAAAGCGCTTTGCAACAGGAGTTTGATGCTAAACAGCAGAACTGGACTGGATCGGGTTTTATTCTCGTCACCTGATACGTGTTGTTGAGAAAGTGAACCGGGACGCTGAAGGGCAGAGAGTGGTGGTAGGGATTCCTCAGAAGGATGGACAGGATCTCCATACGGGACGGCCTGGCCTGCCTCTCCCCCTTCTGCTGGGTCCGCTCCAGCGAGCGCCGACAGTAGACCACGTACTTCCCAACCTCGGTCCTGGGAATAACACGGACGAGAGCCCACAGCAGGATTATTGTGGGGAAAAGTCAAATTAGCCAGTTCGGTTTTTATTTCTCTTAAAATAAATGACTAAAAATAACAAAATAAATGAAATAAACATTTTTGAAAAGGATATTTACGTTTGAGCCTCTGTGGTGGAGGTCAAGGTGGAGTGGCTGTGTATCAAAAAATCCTAATTGCATTCTTATTGTCTTCTATATTATTACTTTAACATTAATAAGCTCATAGTTAATAATACCTCAAATAATTTATTATTATTATAACTGTAATACCATTAGCATAAAGAATAATCATACAAAATATTACTATTTATATATTTTATTTATAACATTTTTGACAAAATGTCAAAGCAAATTCCTTATATAATATTATTGTGCTTCTACTTGTTAAAAGTTATTCAATATCATTATTCTTACAGTAGCCTATATTATATTATATTATATTATTTTACAGTAATATGATATTATATCATATTATTATAATATGATATGATATGATATTATAATATAACATATTATACCAGTAATATAGTATAATATCATATCATATATCATATCATATTATAATAATATAATTTAATATGATATGATATATCATATTATATTATATTATAATAATATAATATGATATATCACATCATATTATAATAAAATAATTTCATATGATATCATATGATATCATATCATATTATAATAACATATATCATATCATATCATGTTATATTATACTAATATAATTTGATCCCACTACACGTTTGTACCTGTATAAAGCAATAATTTATCAGCATATAGTATTTATATAGTTGATACAATTCAGATCATCTTCAAAACATCATCCCATGCCCAGGGACATATCTAAGCATTTTGGGGGCCAAGGCAAAGTAGACCCCTGCCAGGTATTTTAGGTTGAAGTGCTATCTGTTTTTATATTAGACTTTTTATATTTGCAATAAAGTCCAAAAGTGAAGAATTTATGTTATTTATTTGTTCAAGCTACCTCACAGAAGTGATCTGTTGTTAAAAATTTAAATAAAAAGGTAATTAAATAAAAAATTAGGAACATTCTGGAACCGTTTCTTCCTTTTCTTAATTTTATTTCTTATGTATTGAAAGTATCGGATCAGAACTCGGTATCGGCAGATTCTCAAAATCTAATGGCTCGGACTCAGGGGCAAAACCACCTGATCCAGACATTCCTAATATCATATTATATTATATTATATTATATTGTATTATAATATATATCATATCATTTCATAATATATTAGCTTATATCATATATCATATCATATTATATTATCTTATATCATATATCATATTATATTATATTATACTATATCATATCATATTATATTATCTTATATCATATCATATATCAAATTATATTATATTATAATATATCATATCATATTATATTTGTCACGATGGTCGACTGGGTACGGGAGTTGAGCTTGGTAAGAATGTTTGATGTCTGGATTATTAGGTAGAGAACTCTGATCATGGGTTTCAATGAAACGATGACTGAGTGAAGAGCTGGTGCGGCGTCTTCCATATATAGGCTTGGGTGTGACTGGGAGAATGCCGGGAGTTCCCGCGAGGAGCATGCTGGGAAATGTGGTCCCAGATGGAGGCCGGTTAGCTGGGAGAGGCCGGTTCGGGGGCTTGGGCTCTGACAGGACCCCCCGGTCCAGGGACGGCTCTAGAAGTCCCAGGGCGACCTCGGCGGTCCCAGAAGTCAGAGACAAGGGCAGGGTCCAAGATGGTCGACAAGATACTGCCAGCCCCGTCCCCTGCGGTGAGCGTCCAGGATGCGCCAGACGGTGTAGATGGGCTCACTGTCGAGGAAGCGGGCAGGCGGAGGCGCCGGAGGCGGAAGGAGGGAGGATTCCACGTAGGGCTTGAGCCGGGAGATATGGAAGGTGGGATGGATGCAGAGACTCGCAGGCAGCCGCAGCCGGTACGTGACCGGGTTGATGACCATTTGCATGGGGTAAGGCCCAAGGAACCGGGGAGCGAGCTTCCTGGACCCGGCACGGACACGGAGGTCTGCCGTGGACACCCAGACTTTATCCCCTGGAGCATAGGAGGGACCAGGATGGTGTCGGCGGAGATGTTGGTGAGAGTAATGGGCGTTAGCTCGGGTTATGGAGGCCCGCGCCTTTATCCAGGCGTTCCTGCAGCGCCTCACCAGGGATTGAGCAGCCGGCACCGCAACTTCGGGTTCCTGGTGGGCAAAGACCGGGGGCTGGTAGCCATAACAGATTTCGAACGGGGACATCAGAGTGGCAGAGGAGGTGTGGAGATTGTGGGATAACTCAGCCCAGAGGAGGTACTTAGGCCACTGCGAGGGTTGGGCCGAGACAAAGCAGCAGAGGTACCGACCCAGTTGTTGGTTTGCCCGCTCCGTTTGGCCGTTGGTCTGCGGGTGATAGCCCGAAGATAGGCTGACTGATGCTCCCAACAGATGACAAAAAGCCCTCCAGAACCGGGCTGTGAACTGGGGACCACGGTCCGAGACCACGTCGACAGGAAACCCATGGAGACGCACCACATTCTCCAGAAACAACTCAGCTGTGCGTCGGGCCGAGGGGAGGCCCGGAAGGGCGATGAAGTGAACAGCCTTAGAAAACCGGTCAGTGACCGTCATGATGGTATTAAGGTCGTTGACCGGTGTGAGTCCTGTGACGAAGTCCAACCCCACATGGGACCAGGGGCGGCTGGGTACCGGAAGAGGTCTGAGGGTACCAACCGAGGCCTGGTTGGATGTCTTGGATCGGGCGCAGACGTCACAGGCGCTCGTATAGTCCTTCACATCCCTCTCCATACATGGCCACCAGAGAGCTCGTTTGAGGAACCTAAGAGTTCGTGAGAAGCCTGCGTGGCCAGACAGGCGGGATGAGTGGGCCCAGGTCAATGCCTCACTGCGACAGGCTGTGGGGATGTAGAGCCAACCTGCGGGGGTCTCTGGAGGCGCGGGATCGTCCCGGAGGGCATTTTGGATAGCCTCCTCTAGTGGCCACCTCAGGTGGGCCAAGAAACGGTGCTCGGGGAGGATAGGTGCCGGCTCGGACGTGGGCGTTGGATGTGTGAACTGGCGGGAAAGGGCGTTCGCCTTCTGGTTCTTTGTCCCTGGGCGGTAGGCGAGATGGAATTCATAGGGCTCGAAGAAGAGGGCCCAGCGGGCCTGGCGAGGATTGAGCTCCTTGGCTGATTTGATACAGCAACTCTTTGATGACTTGATTATTATTATTATTCTGAGCTACTACAGCAATCAATTTCCCTCTGGGATTAATAAAGTATTTTTGAATTGAATTGAATTGAATTGAATGTGAGTCAGGTTCTGGTGGTCCGTCCAGATGGTGAACGGCTGAGTGGTGCCCAGAAGCCACTGCCTCCATTCCTCCAATGCCCACTTTATGGCCAGCAGCTCGCGATCCCCTACACCGTACTTCTGCTGGGTGGTGGAAAACTTCCTGGAGAAGTAGGCGCAGGGATGAAGCCTGTCGTCGGGCCCGGCTTGGGACAAGATGGCACCGGCGCCGACATCCGAGGCGTCGACCTTGACCACAAAGGGGACTGCATGATCCGGATGGCGGAGGATAGGAGCCGACGTGAAACGGGCAACTAGGTATTGGAAGGCCCGAACGGCGTCTGGAGTCAGCCAGAACGGTTGGCCGGGAGGGCTTGGTCGGGTGAGAGAAGTGAGAGGTGCCACAATGGTGCTAAAGTCCTTAATAAAATGGCGGTAAAAGTTGCAGAAACCCAGAAAACTCTGCAGTTGTTTCAGGCTTGTTGGGAGGGGCCAGTCTCTCACCGCCTGGACTTTCTGAGGGTCCATGGTTAGTCCTTTATCCGAAATCATGTAGCCCAGGAATGATACGGACCGCTGGTGGAAGGAGCACTTCTCGCGCTCACAGAACAGGTTATTGTCCAGGAGCCGGGTTAGAACAGCGCGAACATGGTGGAGGTGTTCGGCCTCGGACTTGGAGTAGATCAGGATGTCGTTCAGGTAGGCAAACACCCACTGTCCCAACATGTCGTGGAGGACATCGTTTATGAGGCGCTGAAAAACTGCGGGGTTATTGCACAGCCCGAAGGGCATGACTTGGTACTCCCAATGACTGGTGGGTGTGATGAATGCGGTCTTCCACTCATCTCCAGCTATAATACGGACCAGATTATAGGCGCTCCGGAGGTCCAGTTTGGTGAAGATCCGCGCCTGGGAGATGGCGTCCAGAGCAGACGTGAGGAGCGGCAGAGGATGACGGTCTTTGACTGTGATTTTGTTCAGACCTCAGTAATCGATACAGGGGCGGAGATCACCCTCCTTTTTCCTTACAAAGAAGAAGCCTGCGGCACCCGGGGAGGAGGAAGGTCGGATGAAACCCTGCTGGAGGGCCTGGTCGATATAATCCTCCATGGCTCTGGACTCGGCGGGAGAGAGAGAAAAAAGGTGCCCCCGGGGTGGACTGGTTCCTGGTTGCAGCTTGATTTCCATGTCGTACAGGCGGTGAGGCGGCAGCGTGGTGGCGCACCGCTTATCGAACACCGCAGCCAGGTCCCGATAGGGCAGTGGCAGATTGGGCAGTGTTGGGCCGGGGTCACCGTCCGGGCGGTCTGGCATGGATGGAGGAGGAGAGAGGTGGGCCTGGCACTGGGTCCCCCATTCCAAAAGGCGGCCCTGGGACCATGAAATCCGGGGGTTGTGGAGCCAGGGAAATCCCAGGATTAGAGGAGAGGAGGGAGCACATATGATCAGGAACTGGAGGGTCTCTCGGTGGCCTTGGACGATCATCTGGAGTGGCTGGGTTCGGTTTTGGACCGGATAGGGTTGGAGGGGCCTGCCGTCCACCGAGGTCACTGGCACACCTCTCTCCAAGGGGGTCATGGGGATCCGTAGGCGCTTAGCCAGATCCATGTCCATAAAATTGTCAGCGGCCCCCGAGTCCACCAGCGCGTGCATCTGAAGTGAGGTCTCACCATGAAGGAGGGTGACATGAAGAAGGAGTCGATTTAAAGGGGCAGGGGTTGAAGGTGACCCAGGCTGAGCGACCCCGATACTCAGTGGGTTCCTTTGTTTCCCAAGCGTAATGGACAGTTCAGAAGTCTGTGGTGGGAGGAGCCACAATAGGCACAGAGACCCTCGCGCCACCGTCGCTGTCTCTCCTCTGGAGGAAGGTGGCCTAATTGCATGGGCTCATCAGCAGAAGCGGGTCCGGGAGCAGGCATGGGGGAACGAGGAAGAGGTCCAGGTGCCCTGGATGGGCGAGTGAAGGGCTTGGGCCGAACCAGAACCCGCTGATCCATGCGCAACGCCAGATCCACCACTTCATCCAGGGTCTGGGGCAGTTCCTTTCCCTCCATCTCGTCACGGATGTAGGTCGCCAGTCCCTCCAAGAAGAAGGCTCGGAGGGCAGAGTCATCCCACCGCAGCTTGGCGGAGATGGTGCGGAACTCCGACGCATAAGCGCACATCGTGCGCTCCCGCTGGCGGAGCTTTAGGAGTTGTGCTTCTGCTCCCACTTCGCTGCTGGGTGGAACAAAAGTCTTTCGGAGGGCGGACACAAAAGCAGCATAGTCATTGCAAGCCGGTGACTTGGAATTATAAAGCGCAGCGGCCCACTCAGCCGCGCGTCCGGAGAGCAGGGAGGTGAGATGCGCCACCCGAGAGCGCGCAGTGGGGAAGCGTCCTGGCTGGCACTCAAACTGCATGTCGAGGGTGGCGAGCAGACCGTCTGGGCTCCCCGTCTCTCCATTCCACCTCTCCGGGAGACTGAAGTGCGGCCTCTCTGTTGGTGGAGCAAGGGCTTCCTGCTGGAGAGCATGGAGGGCTGTGGATAAGTGCAGGATGAGATCGGTCTGGGAGGTTTATTTGGTGTTGAGCCGATCGATCAGGGTGTGGAGCTGAATGAGTTCAATCTCCATTTGCTCCATCTTTCTTTTTATACGCTCAAACTCTGCTGGATCTACGGACTCAGTCATCCTGTCACGATGGTCAACTGGGTACGGGAGTTGAGCTTGGTAAGAATGTTTGATGTCTGGATTATTAGGTAGAGAACTCTGATCATGGGTTTCAATGAAACGATGACTGAGTGAAGAGCCGGTGCGGCGTCTTCCATATATAGGCTTGGGTGTGACTGGGAGAATGCCGGGAGTTCCCACGAGGAGCATGCTGGGAAATGTGGCCCCAGATGGAGGCCGGTTAGCTGGGAGAGGCCGGTCCGGGGGGCTTGGGAACTTCTGACAATATTATCTTATATCATATCATATCATATCATATTATATTATATTGTATTATATTATATTATATTATCATGTCATATCATATTTTCTTATATCATACCATATCATATCATATTATAATATATCATATCATATTATCTTATATCATATCATATATTATATTATATCATATCATATTATATTATTATCTTATATCATATCATATCATATTATATCATATCATATTATATCATATTATATTATATTATGTTATATCATATTATATTATATTATGTTATATCACATTATATCATATTATATCATATTATATTATATTATGTTATATTATATTATATTATATCATATTATATCATATTATATTATATTATATTATATTATATTATATTATATTATACTTTTCTATATTATATTATAATCTTTGGTGCCACAAATGAATAAAAATACACCCTAACATCTTTAATCTTGCAGCCTCCATTGTTAGAGCATTTTTATTATCTGAAGCCTTTGTGATTGTTGTGTTTTCACACGCTGTGATGGTGTTTGGGCCTCTGACGTCTTCCCACCTGGAGTCTCCGTGTCGTTTCAGGTGAACCTGAAGCAGCCAGAAGAACAGATGCTGAGGCAGAAACAGGCCAACACACAAGGCCAGAAACTGCCAGCCCTGAAGAACAACGTGCAAAAAAAAAAAATCAATTAATAAATTACTGAATTCTTCCCACATTAAGGCTCAAATGAATCTAAGGAAATAACTTTTATATTTTAATAAAAACAGAGCGAGTCCGATCATGAAGGACGATTTGCAATGAACTTTTTGTTTGTGTTTTTGAGGAAAACATGTAGAGCAGCAGGATTACTGACTTGCACCCACTGCTGGTGTTACGAAGAAGTGAAGTGGAAACAAATTTTCTTTATGGATATTTAAAAACTCACTTTTCTGTTTCCAGCCTAAAGATGCAGTCACGTGAACTAAAATAATCTAAAATGTGACTTTTCCTTTCAGTAATGATCAGAATTTAGATGGAAAACTCTGCTGGTCTAATGCAAGTTGTGATGAAAAGCTCTCAAGACTCAAGACTCAAGACAACTTTATTAGTCCCCGAGGGGCAATTCGAGACAGCATTGTGAAGCAACCGGCACTAAAATCTCTAAATTCTAAAAACACATCCAAATTACACATTTGTAAAACCCATACTTTCGCCGTGTGGTGAAAGTACATACCTGCAGGGGTCCGGGCTGAAGGTAGGGGTGCCTCATGCGGGTCTGCTTGATGAGCTGACAGAATAATTCATTCTGAAGCTCGGGGTGGGCCAAACACACCTGCAGGGCGCTCTGAGCCAGAGAGACGTGGTAGTCGATGGCTGGAGCGTCGATCGCCACGTTGATAAACAGCTGACAAGTCTGAGGGCAAAGACACACGATCCAGTGGCTCTGTCACTTTAACATTCTGGTTTTTGAACTAAACGGTGTTAATATGCGAGACCTTGAAGAGTTTTAATGCCTCTGTCTGCAGCGCCGGTGAAGGCAGAGTGGTGAGAGGGGACGACAGAGCCTTCTTACTGAAACACAGCAGAGGATGTCTCCAAATCTGGGAATCTGAAAGACAAACGAGTTTCAAAAATCGCCGTTTAAAATGTTAAACCCCAACTTCAGAACAACACTCGGCCTCCTTTCAGCTGATAAGATAAACACACATTACAGTCACGTAGCGTTAACTTGGGTTTTCCAAGTAAGAGTCAGACTTCTGATGTAAACAACGTCTAAGTAACTTATGACTAATTAAATGCAGAAGACAAAGGAAAATAGTTAAAAATGCTGACTTGGATCGCCATCCTGTTGGAAGAGTTTTCCCACCAGTTGTTCGAACTCGGTGCCGACGTTTCCCACCGCGGTCCCCGCTGCCACAGACAGATGGTACCGCCACGAGTCCTGAAGAGTCACACGTTCTATTAACATCATCAGTGATGCACAAAGTGATGTTTCAGACTGGGACCGACCATTTCATGGCGAGATTCCAGGAGTAGGTAGACTGGAGTTTGCTCCTGCGGCTGGATGGCGATGATGAATGAAGCTAGGTCTAAGCTCCGCCCACATGCTTTCAGGTCATCATCTAGCTCTCTTGACTTGTCCACCTCCTCCACCCGGGCCTCCCACAGCTTAATCTGACCCAGAGGGAACTGGAAGGAGAGGCAGACACGCTGCTCACAAAAACAACAACCAACCAAAACGGTTCACCTCAGATCTGAAAATGTGCTCACTGTCAGTCAAAACACACCTTTTCCTCTTGGCTGCGGAAGAAGTACAACGTTTTACCAATCAGAGCACACCAAACCCGCTTGGAGTGGCCATGTTTCACCTGCAACACCAATTTCAGCAGAAACACCAGTTCCAATTAAATAGCAGCAGAATATAGAGCCCAATCAGGAAGTGGTGCTGACCTTGACGAGAAGTCCCTTCATGTCAGGACGAATATCGGACTGCGTGAAGAGAGGACAGGCGGCCTTCACCCTCTGGACACTCTGCAGCATGCGCAGCCACTCCTCCAGCAGGTTAGGAGAGTCAGCCTTCAGGTGGTAAACGTGTTTCCCCGTCACGATCTAAAATCAGGGGGTGAAGGAAAAAAACAAACGAAAAGATTAATAAATGTGTTTCTTGGTCAGTCGTTGTTTCAGTAAATCTGCAGAGGTCTCTAGTCGGAATAAACGCTTGTGAGTCGTTTTCTGTGGAAAAAGCTCTGGCGCTCTTGTGGCAGGATGGAAGACTGGATGGAGGGTGGAAAATGACTGGAATTTGAGTCTTACTCATTAATATTCATGATATGAAAACATTTCGCCTCTGATTGGCTAACAACAACATGACTCTTCCGCTGCCTTCATTCGCTCGTCTGTTGTACGTTTTATCTCCACAAATAACACAAGCCTGAACGTGTTCTGTCATGTTGTGGAGATGCTAATGCTAACGGTTAGCTTCTACTAGCTAAAACATGCTCTGCTCTCCCTTTCCTGTGGGCGGTCCAAAGCCGAGGTGGGCGGGGCCAATAATACGAGGTTCCCCTGTGATGGAGAAGACTCTAGGTGTTTCTCAATGCCAAGGAACCTACCCTTGATGCCTTGGCCCGGCCCGGCCGCCTAGGAGACACGGCATCGGGAGCCGCCAAGGCGTGTTCCAATGTTCATGTTCTACCGAGGCGTGTGTTCTCCGTTTGTTAGCCGTTTAGCTAGCTGAGCGAGGATACACGGCAGGTGTCTTGTAGCCTAGCCTTGGTCAAAAATTACCCACAATGCACCACTGTATTTTCAAAAGGATGGTGGATCAGAAGCCGGCAGCTACTTCGGGGACAATTTTCAAGTTTAAAAGTAAGTCAACTAATTTAAAATGTTTTTTTTTTTAGATCCAAAGAAGTTATCTGTGGTTGGTTAGTTGCTTAGTAGTTGCAGCTTCGGTGGCTAGCGGGTAGTAACTCGCTAATACATTTAATATAATGAATATATACACAATTTAAAAGTAAAAGGCTCGTTATATATTTATACTTATACGTATAAAATATAACATTATCGCCCGTGTCACGTGACATTACATGACTGCCGTGGAAGCCGCGGTCACGTGATGCAAGTCTGTTCCATTTAACTGTTTTCTTTGATCAAGGAAGGACCGTGTCCTCGTAAGCAAGGCGTCTGGCATTGAAAAACACCGTCTTTCATCTTCTAACTCAATCGTTTTCCTTTCTGAAGCTAAAGCAGGTGACGGGTTGGAGGGTGACTGATCGTATTTCAACAGGAACAAGTATTACACTCAGAAGTAGAAAAAAGTACTACAATGTTCTGCTTAGCTAAAAGTACAAATACTTTCATGAAATTTTGGCAAGCACAATTAAAATGACCTGCCTAAAATGTTACTCTGAGTGTTCGTCAGTCTTTCCCTAGTCCTTCATTGCATCCGCTCTGTCGGAATACCGCCTTGGGTGTTGCTAGGACTAACCTCCTCACCACGCAGCGTGAGTACATCCACGTTTTAGTCATTCTGTATATCGAAGCGCAACATGTTTTTATTTATTAGGCCTATAACTATATTTGTATTCGCTAACAAATATGATGGAACATGCAAGTAAAACACTTTAAAGCATACATTCTTATTAAAAGTAAAATTGCAGACTTTAAAACAACTTTAAAAAGTGTAAATGCATAAAAAACTACTCAGTTACAGTAACACAAGTAAATGTAAATCATTACTTTCCAGCTCTGATTACACGGTGTCTCGGTGAACGACACCTTTAGATTGTGTCAAAGTTTTGGGGAAAGAAACAAAAGCACCTGGAGAAGCTGTTTCCCGTCTCCGCGGGTGATGCTGCTGGTGGCGTTGACTTTGATCTGACCCTGAGGTTTTCTGATGACGTCACTCTGTGAGGAAAAGACAGAGCTTTAGAGCTTCACTCGCCCGTGAGACATCACAAAGTCTTATTAGGAATTCACTTTTCCAGAGCCTCTGTAGTTCGTATTAACTCTTTTTATCTTTGTTTGCTGATCTGAAACTTTCGAATCGGCACAAAAACTTTTTCACATCACTTAACATCAAAACTCTGTAATAAGGAGGCAGCAACAGAGAGCCGTACAGGTGACTTGTAGTAGAGCAGCTCTCCATCTTTGAGGATGAACCAACGTCTCTTCCAGGTTTTGACCATTTTAAGCAGATATCCCGACTTCTCCATCGGCTCCTGGTTAAAACACAGAGTTCAGTTGAAACCAGTTTTATCCACAAAATAAAGTAACGCCTTAAATAAAAACTGGGTTGAACTGACGTGCAGCACTACTTACTGAATCTTTGACCTTATAAAAGGTACGTGCAGAAATGTGACTCACGCTGCTGCTGTTGTTGCTGGCTGAGATGCAGGTTTTAGGCAGCTTCTGCTCAGGCTCAGAGAGCTCTGTATCAGTGGAGTAGGCATCGGGCGGGATGGCATAGTCGCTCTCTGAGGTCATCGAAGCCATGGACACAGCTTCAGGGGAAGGAGAGAGGGTAAGAGATGGGAGGTGGACCCTGGACACACCAGGACCGTGTAAGACAGTCAACTAATGAACAGATGCACTCAGTAAGTAGAACAGAGAAATCCCACACGTGCCCAGGGAGAGCAGGCAGACCTCTATGCAGGAAAGTCCCAGTCAGCAATTCAGACCAAGATCTTCTTGATGCAAGGGAACAATGACATCCACCTGCACCTCCACGTGGCCTTTAATCAGCATTTCTACCCAAAACCTTCTGACTGTACAGTGGAGACCGTCTTCTAACAACATCTCTAAAGCTGATTGGTAAACGCTAGACAGATCAAATCTCCAGGCCGGTCCGCTTTGGGGACGTGCTGGTGGAGGAGGATGCTGGAGAGAGGATAGGTTTCCCTCTTAGACATAGAACGCGCTTAGTCTCATGTGTAGTTGTTGCCATGTGGCCGCACACCACACACTCTAGGACCAAAACTGGTTTATCTGTGATTTTCTATCACCAGTGTTGGGAGTAACGCGGTACAAAAGTAATTAATTACTGTAATGCATTGTTTTTTGCTGTAATGTGGTAATGTAAGGCATTACAGGGAAAGATAATGGTAATATTTACTCGGTACAATTGTCAGTAACGCGGTAATTACAACGCATTTTTAAACCCAGAATCAAGATGCGGGTTTCCTAAAAATTCTAATTGCGGGAAGCCTGAAAAAAGATCCAGTATCCACATATATGACGTCATTTATGGACTCAGCTTTGCGGGCATTCTATGAGCAGAGAGGACGCAGCGGTAATGGCTCAAATACTCCAGATTCACAAAATCGCTCCACCAAAACAAAGTAAGTGATCGTTTATATCAGCCCATATTCTCTGGTGCTTCATGTACTTTTCAGCTGAGTTCATAATCTGTGCCCCTTGATTTCAACTCATTGCTGCAGGAGCGCAGCGCATATTAAGCTATTTTTTGTGTTCGGTTGATCCTTTTGGCTGATTAGTTAGAAAGTAGGAATTCTAGGAAACAGTTTTTCTGGAAGATGGAGAAAACATGCGGCATGCAGGAAGGTTAGAGAGAGAAAAGGCCGGAAATTATTCAAATAAAATCAAGAAAAAAAGAAAAAAGTAGGCAGATTTATCCCCAATACACTTTTTTACCAGTGAAAAGCAATAATATATATGCATTTAATATTTATGCATGTAGAATCAGATCACCCCAGAAGTCAGTCCCACATCCAGGGCCGTATCAAGGCATTTGGGGACCAAGGCAAATATAGGCTTGGAGCCCCACCACCTCACTCCCTGCTCAGTTAATATAAGATGGCAGCGTGCTGAGAGTACAGATTGTTGTTGCTTTTATTTAATAAACAATCATTTTAAAGCACTGTTATTATATCTGACTGTTTTTAACAGCAACCCTAGCTCAGACACCACATCACCTTCCACATATATGTCATGAGCTCACTGAGCGTCACATGACCAGATTCATATTGAAGTTGCTTTGGTGAAAGTAACTTAGAGTAATGCAAAAGTAGTGTAATACCCTTACATTTTAGTAATATTGGTAATGTAATGAATTACATTTAAATGAGGGTAACAAGTCATGAATAATGCATTACAGTTTTGACGTAACTTGCCCAACACTGTCTATCACCACATAAGGGCCTTCATGTTTAGAACTGATCCTCCGTTACTGGTGACCAAACCTCAGATACGTGGAAGGAATAAATGAATGGAAACTCCCCAGATGAGACCAAACCTGCCATGTCAACCCTCTCTTTGGTGGTCAGCTACCTCTTTTAAGAGACTGCAAGCTGCCTGGGCTGCTGTCCATCTTGGAGCTGGAGGAAGAGGGGGAACTGCAGAGAGAGCCCTCCTCCTCTCCGGAGCTGGAGGACTCGTCGGAGCTGGATGATTCATCTGAGAACGAACTTCTGCTCAACAGAGTTGCTTTCTGTCAACACACACACACAATCACACAGTCACGGTGCGAGCAGGAGGGCTGGACCCAAGATGTAGAATACCCAAAACGACTCGAGGCAGGAGTGGTTTAAGAAAAATAAATTCCTTTTATTAAAGGAGGTTAGGTAAAAATCCAAAGAAGCAAAACCAATCTAATCTCGAAAAACACTGACAAAAAAACAAAACAGAAGCTCACTCATGAGCACGAACCTGGGGAAACTCGAGAGGGACAAAACAACGCTGACACATACAATGGACCGACAAACTCTGAGACACAGACGGGGTTATGACCACGGGGCTGGGTGATTAGGAGACGAGGAGCAGGTGCATGGACAAAATTTGTACTTTAGAAGTGGGGGGGGGACACAGGGGGGATGGGGGGGATCTTTACAGTATGCTCTAATGGGAAACAGGCTTCAACACAAACGGTTGTTTTCCACATGGTCCTAGAGCTCAACCAGTGTCGATTTAATATAGTGCAATATTGTTTTTGGATGGTAGAAAGTGCAGGGGTCAAAACTTGACTTTGGAAAAAGTGGGGGGGGGACATGTCGTCCCCCCCCCAAAAAAAATTACGTCCATGAGCAGGTGCGTGGGGAATTGGGCACGGGTGAAACTACTGAACTGAGGGAAGAAGCAGAAATAAGCAGGGGGGAAAACCATATCTATATCCTGTAAACCAAAGCTACTAAAATAACCCAAAACTAAACTGAAACGCTGTAGAACAGAGGGAAATCTAAAACTAAGTAAATTAATGATCTAGGTGGGGAAGGGAAACACACACACACACACACACACACACTAAAGGAGACGAAAGAACTGAACTTATAAACCTATAAACTACAGTGGAGAGGCTAGGAGAACATGAGGGGAACCTGGAGGGAGCTGGGGACAAAAAGGACACAGAACATGACACACACATACCTTTACAGATCAAACGTGTTCAGACGTCCAGACTCAAGCTCCTTGTATAGAGAGAAAAGGTTACTTACCCCCTTCGCTGTGGTGTACACCGGTGTGGTCATGTTTTCGTAGATGAGTGATGTGTACATTACGAAGGCCGGATAGGAGGCCTGCAAAAGGGGGTCTGAAGAAATGATCTAAGTTCATTATTAAATTCAAAAACACAGTCAAACTAATTTCCTGGTTGTGTCGTTACTCTTGTTGGCGGGGTCTGATCCTGACGTGTCCGAGAGTCTGATTCCTGATTTAGCAACAGCATAGATACGACTTTCCTGTTAAGAAAATGATGAGTTTACTCTGGCAGTAAGAGCGGAGGAGAAGAGAAAGAGGAGGTGAATACATCTAAAGGCTCGTGTGAGGAGTCTTGTGGCTAGGAGTTAGATTAACAAACAAATAAATAAATAATGTCTGACCTGATCAAATCTGAACAACATGCTGATCTGTTACCTTGAAGTAACACTAAACCGATTTTAAACCGTCACCTTATCGTGGTGGAGGAGTTTGAGTGCCCTAATGATCCTAGGAGCTATGTTGTCTGGGGCACTTAGTGCCCCTGGTAGGGTCTCCCATGACAAATTGGTCTTAGGTGAAGGGTGAGACAAAGAACGGTTCGAAGGATCTTTCATGGCGGTTAAAACGAAGAGTCGGAGTACCCGGCCCGGAGGGTTACTGGGGTCCCACACTGGAGCCAGGCCTGGGGTTGGGGCCCGTGAGCGAGCGCCTGGTGGCCGGGCTTTCGCCCATGGGGCCCGGCCGGGCCCAGCCCGAACCGGATACATGGGCTCGTCCAACTGTGGACCCACCACCCGCAGGAGGAACATGAAGGGTCTGGTGCAATGCGAATCGGGTGGCAGACCAAGGCGGGAGCCTTGGCGGTCCAATCCCCGGACAAGAAAACTAGTTTTTGGGACATGGAACGTCACCTCGCTGGCGGGGAAGGAGCCGGAGCTTGTGGCAGAGGTTGAGCGGTACCGGCTAGATATAGTCGGACTCACCTCGACACATTGCATTGGCTCTGGAACCCGAGACCTGGAGAGGGGTTGGACACTCTACTTTGCTGGAGTTGCTCCGGGTGAGAGGCGGAGGGCTGGGGTTGGCTTTTTGTTAGCCCCGAGACTCTCTGCCTGTGTGTTGGGGTTTACCCCGGGGGACAAGAGGGTAGCTTCCTTGCGCCTTCGGGTCGGGGAACGGGTCCTGACTGTTGTTTGTGCTTATGGGCCAAATATCAGTTCAGAGTACCCACCCTTTTTGGAGTCCCTGGGACGAGTGCTAGATAGTGCTCCATCAGGGGACTCCATTGTCCTGCTGGGGGACTTCAATGCTCACGTGGGCAATGACAGCTTGACCTGGAGGGGTGTGATTGGGAGGAACGGCCCACCTAATCTGAACTCGAGCGGTGTTTTGTTATTGGACTTCTGTGCAAGCCGCAGTTTGGCCATAACGAACACCATGTTCGAACATAAGGATGCCCACCGGTACACTTGGTACCAGGGCAGCCTAGGTCACAGGTCGATGATAGATTTTGTAGTCGTATCATCTGACCTGCGGCCGTATGTTTTGGACACCCGAGTGAAGAGAGGGGCGGAGCTGTCAACTGATCACCACCTGGTGGTGAGTTGGATCAGATGGCAAGGGAACATGCCGCGTAGACCTGGCAGACCCAAACGCATAGTGAGGGTCTGCTGGGAACGCCTGGCAGAAGAACCTGTCAAGACGGTCTTCAACTCCCACCTCCGGCAGAGCTTTGACCACGTCCCGAGAGCAGTGGGGGACATTGAGTCCGAGTGGGCCTTGTTCCACTCTGCGATTGTCGAGGCGGCTGTTGCTAGCTGTGGTCGTAAGATGGCCGGTGCCAGTCGTAGTGGCAACCCCCGTACCTGCTGGTGGACACCAGAGGTTCGGGGAGCCGTCAGGCTGAAGAAGGAGGCCTACAGGGCGTGGCTGGTCTGTGGGTCTCCGGAGGCAGCAGACAGGTACCGGATAGCCAAGCGGGGTGCAGCAGTGGCAGTTGCCGAGGCAAAATCTCGGGCGTGGGAGGAGTTTGGTGAGGCCATGGAGAAAGACTATCGATCGGCTCCAAAGAGGTTCTGGCAAACTGTCCGGCGCCTCAGGAGAGGAAGGCAGCAACTCGCTCACACTGTTTACAGTGGGGATGGGGAGCTGCTGACGTCAACTGAGGCTATAGTCGGACGGTGGAAGGAATACTTTGAGGAGCTCCTCAATCCCACCAATGCGTATTCCGAGGAGGAACCAGAGCTGGGAGGCCTGGGGATGGACTGTCCGATCTCGGGGGCAGAAGTTGCTGAGGTAGTCAAACAACTACACAGCGGCGGAGCCCCGGGGGCGGATGAGGTTCGTCCTGGGTATCTCAAGGCTATGGATGTTGTAGGGCTGTCATGGTTGACACGTCTCTACAACATTGCGTGGTCATCGGGGGCAGTTCCTAGGGAGTGGCAGACCGGGGTGGTGGTCCCCATCTTTAAGAAGGGTGACCTGAGGGTGTGTTCCAACTATAGGGGGATCACACTCCTCAGCCTCCCTGGAAAGGTCTACGCCAAGGTACTGGAGAGGAGGGTCCGATCGATAGTTGAATCTCAGATAGAGGAGGAGCAATGTGGTTTTCGTCCTGGCCGTGGAACTGTGGACCAGCTCTATACCCTTGCAAGGGTGATGGAGGGGGCATGGGAGTTTGCCCAACCAATCCACATGTGCTTTGTGGATTTGGAGAAGGCTTATGACCGTGTCCCCAGGGGCACCCTGTGGGGGACGCTCCAGGAGAATGGGGTGGGTGGCTTTCTGTTAAGGGCCATTCAGTCCCTTTACCAGAGGAGCGTGAGTTTGGTCAGCATTGCCAGTAGTAAGTCGGACCTGTTCCCAGTGAGGGTTGGACTCCGCCAGGGCTGCCCTTTGTCACCGGTTCTGTTCATCACTTTTATGGACAGAATTTCTAGACGCAGCCGTGGTGTGGAGTGTGTCGAGTTTGGTGGCAGGAGAATCTCGTCTCTGCTTTTTGCGGATGATGTGGTCCTCCTAGCTTCATCCAGCTCTGACCTTCAGCTCTTGCTGGGTAGGTTCGCGGCCGAATGTGAAGCGGCTGGGATGAGGATCAGCACCTCCAAATCTGAGACCATGGTTCTCGACCGGAAAAGGGTGGCTTGCCTCCTCCGGGTCGGGGGAGAGGTCCTACCTCAAGTGGAGGAGTTTAAGTATCTCGGGGTCTTGTTCACGAGTGAGGGTAGGAGGGATCGGGAGATCGACAGGCGGATTGGTTCGGCGTCTGCAGTGATGCGGACGCTGAGCCGATCTGTCGTGGGGAAGAGGGAGCTGAGCCAGAAAGCCAGGCTCTCGATTTACCGGTCGATCTACGTCCCAATCCTCACCTATGGTCATGAGCTTTGGGTAATGACCGAAAGAACGAGATCGCGGATACAAGCGGCCGAAATGAGTTTCCTCCGTAGGGTGGCCGGGCTCAGCCTTAGAGATAGGGTGAGGAGCTCGGACATTCGGGAGGGACTCGGAGTAGAACCGCTGCTCCTCCGGATCGAAAGGAGCCAGTTGAGGTGGTTTGGGCATCTGGTCAGGATGCCTCCTGGACGCCTCCCCGGGGAGGTGTTTCGGGCATGTCCTGCCGGCAGAAGGCCCCCGGGTCGACCCAGGACACGTTGGAGAGGTTACATCTCCAATCTGGTCCGGGAACGCCTTGGGGTCCTGCCGGAGGAGCTGGTGGACAAGGCCGGGGAGAGGACGGCCTGGAGCTCCCTAATTGGGATGCTGCCCCCGCGACCCGGACCCGGATAAGCGGAGGAAGACGAAGACGAAGACGATTTTAAACGTTAAGCCATGCTTAAAGAGCAAGTCACCCCCTACCAGAGTATTACTCCACTCCCACTTCCTGGTTGAAAAATGCAACAAATGCGGTTGCCTAGCAGGCTGAGACGGTGGAGCCGCTAACACACACACACACACACACACACACACACACACACACACACACACACACACACACACACACACACACACACACACACACACACACACACACACACACACACACACACACACACACACACACACACACACACACACACACACACACTCACAACGACATTGTGACATCATATGGTACCAGCTAACGTTCTAGGGTACCTCTTATGGGCCATTCCCATCTGTACCGGGTCGGCCCGGGCCGGGTAGCGTAGGTTGTTTACAAATCTGGGTGGTCTGGTATTTTTCCGGGCCAACCAAGGCTCATTCTCAGCCCTCTTCTCGAGGGGGTCTGCTTCAGGCCGACCAGGGCCAACACACCCACTGCTGACAGCAAATTCACACCTTCCATTAGAGCAAGCCTCTGATTGGTGGGTAGAATCAGCCCACATGGGCTTAAGACAAGGATGTGTGGAATCAACCGGGCCAGGCTGGGGCCGACTGGGGCTACCCGGCCTGGGCCGACCCGGTGCAGATGGGAATGGCCCATTAGCCAATAGCGATGGCAGATTTAAATTCAAATGCAGTGCGGAGTTTTTACCTGACAACACAACACTGGCAGTTTTAGGCAGAAAATTCTAATTTGAACTAAAATGCACTAAAGTGCAAAACTACTGACTACACGTGTCTGCAGCACGATTAGACACACATTTATACAGTTTATCAGAAAAATAAAGTTGATTTACGGGGTTGACTTGCTCTTTAAACATTGATCTCAGTGATAGTTGAGCTCAACAAATGGCCTGTATTTGTATAGCACCATCTTAGAGTTCTACAACCCCCCAAGGTGCTTTACAACACAATCAGTCATTCACCCACTGGTGGGGATGAGCTACGATGTAGCCACAGCTGCCCTGGGGCGCACTGACAGATGCGAGGCTTGCCAAATACTGGCGCCACCGGTCTTCTGCCCTTCTGTCAGTGTCTTGCCCAAGGACACAACAGCAGAAATCTCTGGTCAGAGCTGGGATTTAACCCGCAACCTTCCGATGACAACCCGCTCCACCTGCTGAGCTACTGCTGTACCCCGTAATTTACATAAAATAATCCCTGACTTTTAGCAGATTATGGTGATGCCTAGTGACAGTAGCCATATGATTTACATGCTTGGATGGGTTTGTGAGGCGAGTCTTACCCAGGAGGGGAGTCTACGCAGAGGGGGAGTCGGAGGCTTGATGCCAGCTGCTGAGGCCTCTGGGTCTGACCTCTCTGAGCTCATTTCTGTCTCGGGTTCAGACGATGTCTCAGCAGATATGGTGAGCAGTGTATGTGAGCTGGAGGGGTTTTGGGTCAGTGTGTCGCTGTTCAGCTCTACGCCTTCCTTCAGCTGCTGATCGAACTCGGTTTCCTGTGTCTGGAGGGGGCGGAGCATGCTGAGGGCGTTACGTGTCTGGCCGTGTGCTGCCTCGCTGCTAACTGATGGCTGGCTCAGGTGTTTCTTGGACATACTCAGTAATCCAAACCCCACTGGTACTCTCAGGCGGGGCTGTTTTGGCGAGGCGGGGTCGTCCCTCGGGTCCTGAGGCGTGTTGGGTCGTTTTGGGGTGAGAGTCAGCGGGAGGACGAAGCTGGAGGAGGTGGGTTCGCTGGTGGAAGATGAGGAGTCTAGTCTTTGAGTCTGGAATCTTTTGTTGAGCTCATCTGAGGTGCAGGTGTCCAGCCCAGCCTTTGGGTCCTCCTCGTCCTCGCTCAGACACTCTGCTGGAGCTCCGTCTGATGAGTCAAGCAGGCTGAAGCCGGGCCGCTCTGCCTGCTGCATGTCATCATCAAACAGAGAGCTGCTGTCATCAGAAGCAGTCAGGAAGGTCTCGCTGCTGAGCCGGCTGAACCTGCATGCTCCCCCTTTGCCCTCACACACACTGTCCGCCTCTGAAGCAGTGCTGAAGGGTAAAGATGACTCAGGTCCACACACACCCTCAGAACGGTTCTCCCGTGGAGAACACGCTGGTCCACTTGGGTCTGGTCTGTTAATCTCACCATTTGTCTCCAAGGGTCCTGTTTGCTTCTCTGTCAGGACAAATATCAACGCGTCACAGAAACACAGGCTCCCTCTGGTATTATCCCTCACCAGGACTATGAGGCGACTCACCTGTTGTGTTGCAGGGTGTTTCTGTGTCTTCCTGTGCACTGAGGGTCTTCTGGGATGGTGCAGGCCCCGTAAGGACCTGTGGGTTTATGCCCCTCACCTGGAAGCAGCCGAATGTCAGGCTGCTGAGGCGCTGCCCCTCACCTGGCTTTCCCAGGGCTCCCTGACCTCCGCTCATCGTCTGCTCAAAGGCTGCACACAGACACACGTGTGAGGCGTGTGATTTGATTTTAAAAAGTTCCACCTGATCAGATGTAAAAGGAAAACTTCTCACCCTGCACTTGCTTCTGCAGCTCCAGGACCTGAGCCTTTTGTTGCTGGTTGGCTTCTCTTAAAGCTGCGTTCTCCACCTCAAACTGAAGCAACAATTTAGGATCATCTATAAAGTAAAACCGTATTCCTTCACCTTATCTTCCAGCTTCCACACGTCCTCCGTCTCTACCTCTGACAACCTCAGCATCACCCACTCCTTGATCTTTGCGGCTTTCTCCTCCACAAATTTGGCATCTTGAAGTCGACTCTGTTTCTGTAGAAAGGAAAGCAAACTGGTTTCTGATTGTTTATGACCCAAAGCTCAAAAAAGATCATAAAAGGCGAAAAGCAAAGTTGTTCTGTAGGTTGAACAAAACCACATCCACCATACCTGCTCCTCCAGCTGCTGCTCCAGCTGGACCATCATGTCCTCTTTTTTCTGCACTAAGACCTGCAGCTCCTGGCACCGCTTAAACAAATTAATCTCAGAGTCTCCAAGCTGACCGTCTGGTGTTTTGAACTTTTCCTCCATCCACTGCAGCTAAGCACACGAAAACACACACACACACACACACACACACACACACGTCTGTGCACGCTGATGGCTTGAATGGCAGATCTTTGGTTTCAGGTCTTTACCTGCTCCTGGGTGGCGAAGGCTCGCTTTTCTGCATCAGCCACCTGAGTCTCCAGCAGCTGAATCTGTAAAACATTAAAGCATCAATGAACGTCCGCTACCGTGGCCTTTTTTATAAAATTCTACGAGGTCATGCATAAACACATTTGCAACATTTGACAAAAACTCTACATCTTGGTTAAAAACTCTGGCATGAGCCGTATTGATGAGACGGTTTATATTTATGAAAGCTTACAAAGCAGCTCATCACTCTTAACTCTTAGCTCGTCACAATACAAAAAGAATCCATGCAAAAAATAGATCCCAGTCAAATTTATGCGCTAACCTCATGTAATTTTGCTAAATTCATTTTTATGATATTTGTATTTATTTGCTTCCATGAGCTGTTTGGAAAAGTCCCTGTTTGTGATGTCACGATAAGGAAAAGAATCATAGCACGGCCCCACCCCCACCTGTAGACGCTTAGGAAGGCTTCCACTCTGGACATGGAGGAGCAGCTCTACTCTGAGCCCCTCCCAAATATCCAAGTGCCTCAATTCATAGCAGCCAATCAGGGGTGGGTGGGGGTGGCCAGAAACAGCTTGTCTGGGGACGGATGACTAAAAAGCATTGATTTTCCTCTGTGTGTGAAATGTGCTACAGAAATTAAGCTTCCCTTTATTGACGTCCCCTTTAAAACCAAAACCTGTATTCTCTAAGTTCAGCTGTACGAAAACACAAACATCAACAGGTTTTCATCAATTTTCATGTTTCCTTATTTTTCAACCCAGAAAAATGTCTTTCAAACCTAAACGCATTAAAGACCAAGTTCACTTGTTATTCCTATACATCTGCAGTGATCTCTGGTATAGATGAACACCTTGTTCTTCGATCTCTGTAGGAAAAACGTTCTGGCGCTCCTGTTTCAGGCACTAGAACTGAGCCAGAGGAGAGGGGAGCAGAAGACGGAAGGATTTGGAGTTTTATTTCCTGATATCTGGACATCTCCAGCAGCCTTTTTTTCTACGATGAGAACGGAGAAGGGGGCTCCCACCTGTCCCGAGGGGACATTCGCAGTGGGATATGCACTCGATTCTTGGGAGGTCTGGCGAATCGTGTGCCTTTCTCAGTTGTCCATCGAGGACGTGGAAGATTTGTGGATGTTCGGCCTGATGATCACTGGATTTCTTCTGATTGGAGTGGGAGGATATCTCGTTTTCTGGAAATTTGGGAAGACGGGAGCGATTGGAGTGCGACCCGCGCCCATGGAATGTGCCGCTCGTGCGGTGACCTCACAGACTGGGACGTTACTCGAGGTGAACGGTAAGCTGGATAATGTCCTCGCGGCGTTGCCTGTATTAGTACGCAAGATGGATGTCATCTCGGAGAGGGTCACTGGACGGTGTGGGTATGTTTAGAACGCATAAATTGGCTTCACTGGTGGACATGAATGACCACTTATAGACTCCAAGGCAGAGAGGAAAATTATCTCTGCCTGCCCCAAACAAAGCCATGTTTATCCCTTATCTGACGCCAAGACAGCCTCTCAAGGCTGCTCAACACTCCCCCACGAAAGGAGAAATGCTGACAGATGCTGTGTCCCGACCTCCCCCCCGGGCTTCAGATTGTGACTTCTGCTGAGGTCAACGACCTGCGGGAAACTCAATGTGCTCTCTGTTCCTTATCTCTCCCTCCCACCTGTTGGTCTGCAGCTGGTTCATGCGCCGTACCTGCAGCTCCCATTGGAGGATTCAGGATCCCGCCCATTCCCGCCTCCCCATCGGACTCTGATGTTGTATTTGTGCTTCTATGTTGAGGAGTTTTTTTTGTATAATAGAGTTACTCCCCGCTGGGTCTAACTCTGCTATGCCTTTTTTTTTTTTACCTTACCCCCAATTATCCTCATGTAACACCCTTTTCATCTATCTATTAAGGTAGCGCGACTCATGTTGCGAATGACCGCAGTCACCAATTCTTGTCATGTGTCTTACCCATGTATGTCTGATCTCTGAATTGTGTGCACTGAAACTCAATTTCGTTTCTTTGTATGTCCTGCACATGTGGTAGAAATGACAATAAAAACGACTTTGACTTTGATCTCTCCTCTGATTGGCTAACAGCAACACGGCTCTACCACTGACTCTGTTTGCTCTACAATGTTGAAGTTTAATCTCCACAAACAACACAAGCCTGGAGGAGTTCTGCAGTGTGGTGGAGTTGCTAATGCTAATGTTTAGCTTTTAGCAGTCGAAACACTCTCTGCTGTTTCCTGGACACAAAATTAACAGCAGAGCCTTTCTCGTTGTGAGTGAGTGAGTCCATGAATGTTAATTTTCAGCGCGACATAGATCTGAGCGGCTTTTCTAGTCCGAGCGTTTCATCGTCTGTTTTCTATCAGCGGCTAAAGCAAGTGTGGAAGACCATTTTCACATTCAGCCTGTATGTTAAACTCAGAGTGACGATCATATTTAAGAAAAACAAATAAAACAGGTTCTCAGTGAACTTGCTCTTTAAAGACAGATTCTCAGAAATACGACACAGCCAGCTTCGCTACATCACACACTCAAGGCCGTCTGTCTGGTCTTTATTTAGATGTCCCTGCTGCACCAAAAACGACAAACCACACGTGCCTCACTTAGCGACGCGTTTAGCATCCAGCACAGAACACCCTGTTAATTACAGGCCGAGTGGCTGCAGCTGGAGCAACCGCTAGCAATCTCTCTGCCGTACCACACATGTATAAAAAGCAGCTATACAAAGCGAATGCTGTGTGTGTGTGTGTGTGTGTGTGTGTGTGTGTGTGTGTGTGTGTGTGTGTGTGTGTGTTCCTCTTCTCACACTCATATGATCAGTCTGGATTGTCGGTGAGGGCTGAATGCTGACTGGGATGTACCTGCCCTCTGTGTTCACACACAGCACATGTCTCAGCACCTCTCGGACAAAACATCTCTGTCCTCTTTACCTCTGCAGCTCTGAAGTCAATTCCCTGTTTAAAATCCAGCTCGGCTTCCATTTCTGGAATTCCATAACCGTGGCCAACCTCTTCCTGAACTCCTTTCCCTCCCTCCCCATCATCCCATCCACAGGCTGAGCAGCCGGCTCACAAAGGCCGTCTCTGTAGGCAGCTCAAACACACAGGTACCCCCCCCCCCCCCCCCCCCCCCCCACACACACACACGTCTGTGAAAAACATCACAACCACATAACCATCATATTAATGTGTTCATTCTGATCTAGAGAGACAAACACTTATTTCAAAAGAAGACCAACGTAGCATCAGACGTTTCCTTTTCCCTCCCCTGGCCATTTCGGTTTTTGAACAAAGTTGCTTTGTTTTTGTTCTCTAATGGGCGCCGCCTCTTCCTCTACCCTAAAACCACATTTCTAAGAGTGTCAGTATTGAAGCAATTTGCTGAATTTACCAAAAATGTGCTGCTACTTTGTTTACTTTGAGTTTTGCCTTGGTTTCAGCCCACAGCCTGAAATAAGTTAGCTTAGCTAGTAGAAGTGGTTCAGGTGAGAGTTCAGAGAAGAACGGTCAGACTGGTTCCTGCCCAGGTCAGCAGAACCTCACCAGCTACACCACATGGACTCCAGCAGCTAAAGACCACACCAGGTGTTTCTCCGGTCAGCTAAGAACATCAAACTGAGGCTACGATTCACACAGGACCACCAGAACAGGACCAGAAGAGTCTGGAAAACCTTTCCAGGTCTGATGAGTCTGGATTTCAGTCGGGTCAGAATTGGGTGTCACCAACATGAAAGCATGGATCCATCCTGCTGCTGGTGGTGTTCTGGTCCCACTCTGGACCCCTCAGCACCACCTGAGCCCGGATTAAACACCACAGCCTTCCTGAGTCTTGTTGCTGGCCATGTCCATCTCTTCATGACCACATGGACCCATCTTCTGATGCTACTTCTAGCAGGACAAAGCTCCAAGTCACAACACTCAGATCATCTCTAACTGGTTTCTAAGCATCCGTTACCATAGTGACAGACAGAAAAGAAGTGAGCCAGCTTTTTTGAAACATCCTGAAGTTACATCACTAAGATACTAATCCTTCAGGCTTCTGGTTCTGATCCCAGATCGCCGCGACCATGAGTTTAAAATACGGTTTCAGTGAGTCGAGATTATGAATATTCTTTCATTTTGACTATTTTTATCCCAATTTGGTGTTACCACCCTACGTAATGTACATCTAGTAGAATCTTTACCTGTACTAAATACACAAAATAAATGAGAAAACAATATTTTGTGTCTTATTCATTTGATCATGTAAATAAAATAAACACTTTGACCCATGAGCCACAAAACCCCACCAGAGCCAGATGTTCCTCCAAATCTCAGAAAGGGCTTCTCCACATGAGACTATTATTATTTTGCCTCGCCTGGAGCTGGGTCAATCCCATCATGCACTGCGTGGTGGAGCCCTGTGGTCAGACTGCTGTTTACATTAGAGCTCTAATCAGCATCCCTGGAGAGCAGCTTCAGATCTGGGCCATGAGCGGGCCCAGCTGCTAGAGAAGGGACGCTCTGTAGCCACCGGTCACAGAACCGCTCTATCTCTGGATCTGGTTACTTCCTGCAACTATCCTTAGTCTGCTGACCTGGAACAAGAACTACTTTGTTTTTTACAGTGACACCTCAAAGCTAAATCATCGTAGAGACTCATGATCAGCTCATATCCCTATCGCGTGAATTCCTCAGATCGATGATAAGAGGAGACCCAAAGAGACCCAAACGGCAACATGAACACGGATCCTGGACACTTTTCAAAGAGAGCTGAAGGATTTTTCCACCACTGCATCTGATTATGCATCAGCAGCATGTGTCAAAAAGCATGAATATTGGGCTAAACGTACTAGAAAAATATGTCTCACAGCTGTTTTGCTTCTACTCTTTATTAACTAAAAATGTTCAGAAGAAGAAACAGAATTTTTTTTTTAATTATTAGCAGTTTTTTTTAAACAGACATTTTTAAGACCGTGTAGGTTTATCTCTAAACATCCATCCATCATCCTCTTACGCTTATCCGGAGTCGGGTCGTGGGGCAGCAGCCTAACCAAAGAGGCCCAGGCTTCCCTACTCCCCAGCCACTTGGGCCAGCTCCTCCAGGGAGTCCGTGTTCCCCGAATCTCCCTTTAGGTCTCCTCCTGGTGGGACGTGCCCAGAAAACCTCACCAGGGAGGCGTCCAGAAGGCATCCTAATCAGATGTCCCAGCCACCTCAACCGGCTCCTCTCGGTGTTGAGGAGCAGCGGGTCTACTCCGAGCCCCTCCCGAATGACCGAGCTTCTCACCCTATCTCTAAGGGAGAGCCCAGAAGCTGCGGAGAAATCTTATTTCAGATGCTTGTATTCGCGGTCTCGTTCTTTTCATAAAAGTTATGAACAGAATCGGTGACAAAGTGTCATGATCCGCCCCGGCCTCCCTGACTGTGTCTCTCCTGCCCTGATTAGCCTTATTGTTCTCACCTGTCCCTGATTACTCTGCCCATGTGTTCCTGATTCCCTTGTGTATTTATACCTCCCTCCTTGTTGTTGTCTTTGTCGGTTCATTGTCGCTTGTGCATGTTCGTTCGTCCTGTTGCTCCCGTCCTACCAATTAAACATCTTTTTATTTTTTACATCCGTCTGCCTGCTCTTCTGCCTCCTGGAACCCACCACCACACATGGTCTGCCACCTCCACCCGCAGAACATGACACAAAGGGCAGCTTGGCGGAGTCCAACTCTCACCGGAAACGAGTGCTACTCAAAACAATTATAGCTCAAATATTTTCTTGTGCTTCAGTTTGAAACACAACCTTGAGAAAAAACACTCAAGAACTCGAGCTGTTTTCAAGGACTTCAAGCACCTGCACAACTCTGAACTTCAGTTAATAAACAAGAACACTTCCATATTGAGAAACACCAACTGCAGTGGTCAGAACAAGAGAAAACGAAGCTTACTTTCAAACAGTGAAGACTTGTGACGTGCATGCTTGTGTAATCTTCACTGTGTGTTGGGTTAAAACAGGATAGTGCGGCCCATACGGCTGGTGTTATTTTCGAGTTTGCTCAGTATAAACTCAACCATAAACCTCAGCTTCAGCTGCTATGTGTTCCTCAAAGAGCGTCATAATGAACAACATCTGTGCGCCAACAGAACGCCTCTAAAAGAACCAACATCAAAAAAGGGCAAAGACAAGGAAATCAGGCCAGCGGCAGCAGACACAACATATAAACCAAAGCCCGGATTCAACCATGTACTCAACGGGAGTCCCTACTGGTTGGTTCCAGGGCGTGAAAAATCGGAAATGTCAAGCAGTAACACTAAAACGCTTGTTTTTAAAACTAATTATTGTTAAATGTTAGTGTAGCAAATATATAAAAATCAAAATGTATTTTATTATGCAATTGTATAACAAAAGCAGCAATAAAGCTATGAAACATGTATAGATCCCCACCAGGGGGCAGTAGACATACATCAGACGGGATATGGCAGGTTTCTGATGAAGGTACTCATCCTGATGCTCCATTAGATGCTTTAAGGCAGACTGAAAAAAAACAACCTCTTTTTGGAATATCAGTGTTTGCGAAAACACGCCAGACATTATCGACGTGTTTTAATGATGTCTGATGAAAAAAAACTTTTGAAAATCATCTGACAAAATGACCAACGTGAATCTTCTGTTCACTTGCCAAAATAAAACTAACTTCACACACAAAGTTTCCCATGCATAATAAACATAAACATTCTAATACCTCTATTTTCTGCATTAGCCACCAAAAGAAACCCGACATCGAATCAGTCAGATTAAAATGCCACTCGGATCTACGTCACACTGTAAATTAGCATTTATGGACTCACCCATCTTGGCTTGTGACGGTGTAAGCTGTTGTTGGTTTAGCATCCAGGAGAAAGCAGAGCACTTCAGCTAACCATTAGCGTTAGCATCTCCACCACAAGGCGAAATTCATTCAGGCTTGTGTTATATGTGGGATAAAACAACAACGTTGCTTTTTTCAACCAAAGAAAGAAGAGCAAACGGAGGCAGTGGTCAAAAATTTCCCAGAACACAGTGCTGTATTTTCAAAAGGATGGCAGATCAGGAGCCAGCAGCTACTTTGGGGGCAAATTCCTAGTTTAAATTTAAGTCTACTAATTGCAGCTATCAGGCTGATATAGAAAAAAGCAGTTAGCTATGGTTGGTTAGTTGCTTAGTGGTTGCAGCTTTGGTGGCTAGCAGGTAGTAACTTGCTTACATGTTTAATTTAACCATTTTATACACAATTTAAAAATATTGAAACTTATACGTATGAAATATAACATTGCCTCACGGGGGTCACATGATGTCATGCGACACTTACTAGCATCACCTCCATTGGGTTGGAAGTGTTCTCTTTTAGGTAGCCTTGATTTTCCCGCGAGCAACCAGATGTCTTTTCAGCTCTCTTCCCGAGGCCATCTGCCTGGAGCCGAACAGGGCCGACACACCCACTGCCGGCTGATTGGCCGGCTCAAAATCCCACGTATCATTAGGGGGAGCCTCAGACTGGCGAATAGAATCAGCCCGCGGGGGCTTTCAGCATGCACGTTCCATTATCATTCTGGATGCTGTGGAGTTAATGAGCCTGGGACAGAAGCCGTTTTTCTCTGTCCGTCACTGCTGTGAGGAGGCACACACACACACACACACACAGCGTACACCACGTTGTACTGCACTGACAACGGGGCAGCAGTAGCTCAACAGGTAGAGCGGGACACCTAACCCACCTGCTGGTGGTGGTCAGAGGGACCGGTGGCGCCAGTGCTCGGCAGCTTCGCCTCTGTCAGTGCGCCCCAGGGCAGCTGTGGCTACATCGTAGCTCATCACCATCAGTGTGCGAATGTGTGTGTGAATGGATGAAAGATACACTGTAGTGTAAAGTGCTTTGGAGTCCTTAGTCTGAGAGGCGCTATACAAGTGCGGGTCATTTATCATTTACAACGTCACCCTGCAGCTCTACAGAAATCAGCTGTGGCTGATTCTAAATAAATGTGGAGCAGATTTGTTACCTGAAGACGGAGACAGAGTTACGGTTTTGGGCTGAAATATTAAATTTAGAGTAAGTTGCTCTAAAATGGAGAGGGCGCTCGCTGCAGAACTACAAAGATGGAGCTGCACCAGAGTCAGCCCCGCCCATTCACGCAAACTCAGCCTAGCCTACTGACTCCTTCTGTTTTTGTTTTTTAACTTTATCGCAAATTAACCTGACCCACATGAATTACGGCTGTTACTAGTTTACGATTGTTAATGCTATGATCTATGTCCAATTAAACAAGATAAATATAACCTGCTACATGACAAAGCCTGAATATGTCCCGAAATGAAAAGGTTTCTTTTAGCAAATGTCTGCCCACAGCCGCTCCAACAAAACCTGCGTACAACAACAGCATTTAAGGTTTATTGTTATGTGGGTTCTGGTAGACCAGTGGCAAGCTTGTCCAATTTAGATTTTGCTTTCCCCTCAGCTGATGCTGGTTCGACTCTCAGTGGGGTCGGCAGCAATCTATTTAGCCAGCTGAAACATTTCATTTGTTTACATTTTAGTTGTAATGTTTATTTTCAGCAAAATATTTATGTCTCTAAAAGTTCTTTGAATTTGGTCGTTCCTAAACAGCATTTTAGTTGAAACTCTGCTCACAAATGGACTCACACTGGCTAAATAAACAAATAAATAAATAAAAAAAAACACACACATTAGTCATTATATTGCAAACGGTATACCAATAAATTGTTGTAAACATCGTACTGGCAAGTGTAGCTAGAAAAGAAGAAAAAGGGTTATAAACTACCTTTTAACTGCCTCTACTGAGAGGCAAACCTGCGCAAAACTGCATGTCAACCTGACTCCACAACCACTTCACCACTACATCTGATAAGAAGATAGTGGCGTTAGATGTAATTGTGCCATCCAGTGTGTTTTTGTAGATGGGATGTATGGTTTTTCCGGCGGTGTCTCACTAGAAGTCATTTCAGAAATAATTTGTCAGAAAATTCACAGAATATCCAGATTTGAGAACCAAGACCAGACCCGCTTCGGGGGAGGAGACTAAATGGAAGCCGAGATGGGAGGAAAATGCATGAATGAGGCCAAAAATGGCTTTGGCGTGTTTCTTAGGAGGAAATGATAATATAACATGATTAAAAGTTCCAAAAGTTAGATTTTTAATTATATGGAACCTTTACAAAAACTGTTCAATTAACTTCTCAACTCCGTCCTCAATCTTGCATTTTAGATGATATTAGATAGAACACCCTCTTTGGTTCCAGAATGCTATCAAGTCTGACAACTGGAAGGAAGTGGACTGACTCTGATGGAATGGGCGGGGCTGACTCTGGTGCAGCTCCGCCTTTGTGGTTCTGCAGCGAGCACCAATTGCTAAACTGCCACACTGATGATTACAGCCAGGCTGGGGAGCCAATGCTAGTGTGTAAGTGGCTTTAGTTTAGCTCAGTCGCAGTAACATCCCACCCACCTGGCTCATACAGCGCTGTCATTGGCCCACCAAACAGATAGACCTCTGTGATTGGACCGGTACCAAACTAGGTTCCAGTGGAGCATGGCTAGTCCGATCATTTTGCTTCGGCAAATTGACGGTCTAGATTGTAGGCTAGCCTGGTCGATCTCAGATTTGTGCTCATAGATCACATGACGTAAATGTGACGTGAAGTGTGACGGCCATTGCACTGACCTTTGTCGGAACGTTGCTGCTTTGGTCTGTTCAAATTTAAGATCTCTGACGTTATTTTGATTTGAGGTGTTATTAATTAGGGCGGCAAAAATCGTGCTTTTATTTTTCTCAGTCGGCCCTGGACACATGTACAGACATCAGCCAACCTTGTCTGCGGTGAGTTCTCTTATCTTGACGATCTGGACTCTGAACTTCATGAGCAGTGACTCCAGAACCAAACACTTCTCCCTCCAGTCCTCCTGGCCCATCATGTCCTCCTGTCCTGCCATGATGCCTGAAACAATAAAAACACACAAACAGCCGTGGATGAAGGAGAGCGAGACAATATAGACACAGCCATCGGCTGTTTGCTTCATCTTTATTTGCAGCTTCACAAGAAAATTTAACTTCACTTCTAACTGACCAAGAATGTCGCCTTTTCTCAGACTCATTATACAAATTTATTAAATACTTATTAAAGTATTTCATCTTTTGCTTGTTTTGACCTGGTTTGTTGAATATCTTTTGACATTCTAAAGTTTATTTCTGTGTAAAAACTATTTACCCATCAGCTCCCTGGATGACCTCGGGTGGCGTCCGAAGGACTGATAAGCTAAAGGCTAGTCTTGACCCTTTAATGCCTGAAACATTAGTCAGACAATTTTCAAAGGTTTGATTATATATTTGATTGCATATTATGTGTGTGTATGTGTGTGTGTGTGTGTGGGGGGGATTAAGAACCCCTGTATTAATAGAAACAAATGGTGGTTTTCGAACTTTTTCCACAGCCGTTTCTCTTTTTTCTCTCCAACAAATGAGGATCTAAATAAGTTTTAGTTTTGGGACTGAGAGGAAAAACTTCATGATGTGTAAAAATTAACTAATTCCATAAACGGCAAAAGGATTATGGAAATTAGACCGACTGACCTAGCAGTTAGCTCATCAGTCCTATAGGACAAAGCTCTATTTCGCCAAACTGAGGCCCTCCAGGGATTGTTCTAGGACAGGTAAGTTACTTACTATTTGTGACTTTTACTCAAACTCATTTCAAATCCCTCCCTAACTTTGACTGGAATCACTAATGTTTAATAATTTAAAGCCGACCAAGGTTCAAGATGCAGATCAGATCTTCTGGCTTTTTATAAAAAAAGAACATTTCTTGAATTCATGAAGCCTGATTGTGTTTAGTGATGATCAAATTAAAACAAAAACACAAAGTCTAAAAACAGTTTGTTTTCGTCCAGAGAGCACCTGACATTTTCCAGGTTTGGGTCTATCCGAGTAGAGGGCGTATCCATCGCTTGGCCTTACAGAAAGCCCGTCTATTGGCCCAAAACATGCCGACGCCCTCCTTCGGACACGCTTTCGTCATATTTTCCAGAGTGACTTTAGAAAACAGGCGAATGAGGGTCTGTGATGGAGGAAAAGCAGAACAGGAAAGTCTGCCCTTCTCTCCTCTAACCTCATTACCATCCTCACTGGGAGCATGTATGGAAGGAAGCCTAAGCTGCTCTTCAGAGGCAATAACAGTGATTTTTCCTAAAACTAACTCATAACAGGACACAGGCAGGCGGAAAAGGCACAAAAACACTTCCTACCACAACAGTCAAGCACGAATGAAGTCCTTTTAATAATATGATTAATTAGTAATTAGCTAATTTATGATTTTTTTTAGTCTCCTGAAACAGTTTATTTAATAGCGGAAGAGGTTGATGTATGTGCATGGTATGTAAGAGTTGTGTCATTAAAACTGATAATTTCTGATCATATATTTTTATGCTAATATCGGCCGATAATATCAGACATCCCTACTTCATATATGTAGGCAGCATGTAAGAATTCTACAGTAAAATAATCATAAAACAGTCGAATGGTTTTATCCTGTTGAAAGGAGGGTTTAGTTGAGGCAGATTTCCTTCTCAGCTGGCTGCAGGGTTGTCAGTTTTTCTCTTTCCAAAAAACTAAAGAGGGATGTAGTTATTGTTTACAATCAGTGGGCCCAGGAGGTTGCCGAATCCACAGCAAGCTAACGCCGGGGACACACCGGCCGCCGAATCACCGTGAAGCGCCGGGAGGCGAAGCGCTCACGAAATTCGACCGCTGCTCGCTGCGCCTCAGTTCAGACCAGACGCTTGTTTCTCCGCTCCGGTTGAGGCGCACCTCGTAGTTTTTCTTTTAACCACTTGGTGTCCTCCATTTCCTCTCTGCCTTTTCTCTGCTCTTTTCATCTACACCCCCCTCCCCCTTGCTGTTTGTGTGTGTGTTTGTACGTGTGTGTATGAACCTATGGTGTGAACCAGCTGTTAATAGCTGGCCTATGACTTTCTGCCTTTCTGTCCTGTTTGCGCCGGTTGAAAGACACCCAAAACCACACCCCCTTCACGTGGTCACACACACACACAAGATCGCTCTGTGTGTGTGTGTGTGTGTGTGTGTGTGTGTGTGTGTGTGTGTGTGTGTGTGTGTGTGTGTGTGTGTGTGTGTGTGTGTGTGTGTGTGTGTGTGTGTGTGTGTGGTTTTTATGCAGTGTCTGTTTATGAACACATTTGACTATCGCGGAATTGTATTTTGAAATGCTTTATTTTGTTAAATTTACCGGCCTGCCTCTTATGTCTAGGTTTGACTTCCTGCCAGAATTGACGCGGTTCACCCGCGGCTTGCGAAAAAAATAGAGCAGACGCCGAAACGATCGCTGCACGGCGCGGGCTGGAGCGCCGGCGCACGGCACTTCGGCGGCCCATATGGTCTATAGAATAGGATTACAAGGGCGCTGAATGAAGGCAGTCCCCATTTTGCGGTGCTTCGGCGGCCGGTGTGTCCCCCGGGTAACGCTGCAGCTGTGACATTTGTAATTCGACACCAGCAGGCAAAAAGCTCCAGAGTTGTTTAAAGAATTAAAGCCAGCAAACAGGAGCGACCCAGAAGTTATTTCTTGTACCCCTAAGAAGCCACGGCATCTTTTTGTTTTACTCTAACATCGGGTGATATCGGCTAGAGGCTAACGTTGAGCTAACAATGCTAACGGTGAATTATAATAGTTGACTCAAAAAATATCTTAAGCTACTTTTTCAATATTACAGTGAAATGTGGTGTTTTACTGCCTTTGATGAGGTGTGACCAAGTCACTACTTTGTAAGTCACAAGTCTTTCCAGTCAAGTCTCGAGTTATGTCATAGTCAAAGACAACCAAGTCCAAGTCCAGTCCAAAATCAATTATCTGGAAATCCAAGGTAAGTCCTTAACTTTGAAATTTCAAGTCATAATCAAGTCATCTGTCCAACTTCAATTTAATGATAATGAATAAATTCCAGAAATAAAGCTTCTTAAAGCTTCATTTATTTGCTCCAACAAGCAAAAAGTGCAACTGAAACTGATTATATATATATATATATATATATATATATATATATATATATATATATATATATATATATATATATATATATAAGAGCTGCTGCAGTTAGCAGAACAAGATCCAACCCAGAACAAAGAAAGATTTATGATTTTTCTCCATGTCGTGTCACTTGTGCTAAAATATCAAATATGCTCAAGTCATCATCAAGTCAACAGATGCAAGTCGATTCAGGTCGCAAGTCATTGGTGTTCACGTCCGAGCCAAGTCGTGAGTCTTTACAGATTTGATCAAGTCAGAAGTCATTAATGACTTGAGTCCAAGTCACGTGACCCGAGTCCACACCTCTGTTGATGAGGTGTACAGCTAAAAGAGGGAAATCTTCCAGTCAAAACTTGTGATTACTGCCAGACTATCTGAGTGATGTGAAAGTTATCAAGGATTTAAATACTATACAAAAAGGAAAACATTACGGGCTCATTAGAGGTATTTATGGATGATGTAATTGGTGCATCTGTGGTCATCAATGCAGTTTATCTTCTGTTTCTCCAAACTTAGGTTGTTGATAGAGCTTTTTACAACAGAATAGTTAACTTTTCCTAAACCTTCCGAAGCCTTCAGCTTCAGAGAACAGTGGGTATTTCAAAAGATCTGAACTGATATTAAAAAGGTTTTTTAATGTTTTATGTGTATAAAAGATCATTTTAAACCAACATCCTCAGCAGTAAAATTCATTATTGCTGAAAAAGACACGGGTCTGAATGTTTCTGTTGTTTTCTGTAAAACTGCTGGTTTTCAATTCACAAAATCAGATTTATTTATTGAGCTCTTTCCTGGTGTCTAAAATTAACAATTAAAACACACTAGAAACAACATAAAAACAAATACCCAGCAGCACACTGATAACTTCTCATTTGACCCAAATTTGTAAAACTTTCCCAGCTCTCTTGGCTAAATGGAAAACATCCCCCAAATACCCACTTACCTCCTTTATTACTGATGTAAAAGTATTTTCAGTGTCCTCACGCCATGTTTGGTCCCGCGTTAGTGTTTCTGTTTTCATTTATGGGTAGAATTTCAGAATTCATCATCTAAACATCGGTTCTTGATCCCTGAGGCAAAAGTTGGATGAGACGGTTGGATTTTAGCGGAAACGCGTCTTTTTGCAGCTTTCTGTGGGCGTTGCTCTCGCTTCGACAAGCCTAGGATCACCACTGCTTAACCAATACAACACCGAGCCGGAGTTCACGCTTTATCCTGGTGTTGTGTCGACGTTAGAACACCCGTTAGAATCTGTGCCCGCAGCGTCGGGAGCGCGCACGGGAAGGGGGGTCGGGGCTCATTGAACTTTAGCGTTTACTTTCAGCTCACAGAGCAAAAACATGTAATAGTGGCCTGTGACAAACCTGAGAAAATGTGTTAGCAAACTATTCATCACAGTTTAGTCATTTAGTGTAATTTAGCAAAGCTCTGTTTGAGACAGACAGACAGACAGACAGACAGACAGACAGACAGACAGATAGATAGATAGATAGATAGATAGATAGATAGATAGATAGATAGATAGATAGATAGATAGATAGATAGAAGATAGATAGATAGAAGATAGATAGATAGATAGATAGATAGATAGATAGATAGATAGATAGATAGATAGATAGATAGATAGATAGATAGATAGATAGATAGATAGATAGATAGATAGATAGATAGGAAATTGTCCTATAAAACAGTCTACAGCACCCTCTGCTGGGTGGAAGTGGTGTCATCTGGGTCTTCACATTTGTTCCTTCGAAATCAAAATGAACATGCCAAAAATTACAATTTTACTTGCAAATAAAGAGTCATCTACACTTTGATAAACGATAAAAAACTATTTAAGTAAGGTAACCTGCTTGAGTTTGTTTTCAGGTAAAGTGCAAAGGAAATAAAGCAGTAGTAGTAACGGAAACGTCTTAATGTGAAAACATACCGGAAGTGAATCTATTTTCTTCCTCGTGTTTTGCTTTTGCTCGCGAGCCGCTGCAAACCAGGAGCACAAGAGCTAAACGGCACCTCATGCCGAACTAAAGTAACTACATTAAATTGTTTTTCGTGATGTAGAACATTTATCACTCTTTAGGGGGTTTGTTCTTTTCGTTGCGTCGTTTTGTTATGCTAGTTCCTTCATGTCCTCTTTTCATTTTATTTTAGACGCGGAATAGTTTTGAAACTGCTTTTTAGCTAACGTGTACGACTTTAATTTGAGTCAGATTATCGCAACAAAATATGCTCGAATGTTTTCGTTTGTTTCTGATTTTTTTATGCGCGATATTCTCAGTTAAAACCTCTAGGTGTGTCTGGCCGCATGCTCTTCGAAGAAAGTGATTCAGTTATTTAAACTAGTCAGAATACAGATGAAAAGTCCATATTTACCAGACTTTTTCTGTTATTACAGAATGCTGTTTATGTGTCTGTCCGCAGATCTGGGCCATCATGGTGGTGAAGAAGAAGACTGTTAAAGTGGAAGCTGTATCTCTTAATAAGGAGAAACTAGACAAGCTTTTAGGTTAGGGATTTTAACCAACAACCGTGTTAAGTCTTGCTGCCTGTGCCGTTCCTCATTCTGACATGTGTTTAATCATCCCAGCATCCCTCACGCTCTGTGAATCAGAAGATGGGGTTGGTCTGCTTGCCCAGACCCTGCAGTCTTGTCTGGAGCAGACCGACTCAGTGCAGCAGATCCAGCTGATTAAAAAGGTTTGGATTACCTGTGCAGCCAGGAGCCCTCACTGCTTGTATTTTAGGCATCCGTGTTCACGGTATGTGTTGTGATTGTGTTCACCAGGCTGCATCCCAGTTGGAGAAGTTAAATGAAGGTAAACCTGGTGGTGTTTTAGATGCTTGTCTGAACACGCTGGTTCTGATGTTCTCCTCGCCGCAAGCCAAGAACCCCCTACGACGAGCCATCACAAGGTACAATCACATCCAAAACAACATTTACTGCAGTTTCTTTGTGAGATAACATTCTTGTGTGTTTCTGACGTCAGCGCCTTGGGTTCTGTACCTGGCTGGCTTCGTGAGCGAACTGTGAACGAGTTCTCCACTTGTTTGTCTGACTGCTTTAGCAGCTCATCTTCAGATCAGTTTCCACATGTCGTGGACACGATCGCTGCCTGCCTGGATGGCTTTCCACTTGGTAAATGTTTTCCATTTTAGCCTTCAGCTTCAGAGGGCAGATATGTCTTTATTTGTTTATTAAATCAGGCAAATGTCTGTTTTTTCCTCCAGGCGAAAGATGCATTAACAATCTACTTCCTGAAGGTTAGTGACCTTCTCTAACTCGCTTTAGGGGATGACTCATTTTATCTGAGTTTTTTTGTTTTCCCTCAGCTTCATCAAAAACCTCCTCTCCCTGTTATAGTGTTGCAGTTCTTCTCCAGGGTACTGAATGAGTACCTCAACCAGAACAGGTATGTTGTCATGTTTCTTCAGAGATATTTGAATTTGGTGGGAGAAGAACGGGATGTGATTAAACTGAAATCCTTTAGGCCACCACACAGCACACTGTATGTAACCTCCTCTGGCTGCTAAAATGTAAAAGGTGTTTTTGGGTGTCAGCTGCAGCTCACACTTTTTGAAGTTCACACCTTTTCTCGCCCCCTGCTGGGCTTCTAGTGCTCTTGCAGGCCGACACATTGCCCAGGTGCAGTTGATGCAGGCTTGCCTGGCTGCTGTGAAGACCTCCATGCTGGTGCTTCAGAGATCTCAGGACAGGCTGAGTGGAGCTCAGCAAAGTCACGACCAGCTGGAGGACACTCTGGGCAGCCTTCTGAGCTGCTACGTCCACATCCTCACTGATGGTAGGAGGATTATCCATCCTGACTGCTTAACGAAAATCAGCAATTTAAAGAGCAAGTCAACCCCTACCAGAGTCTAACTCCACTCTCACTTCCTGTTTGAAAAATGCAACAAATGCTGTTGCCTGGCAGACCGAGAGGGCGGAGCTGCTAACAAATACACACACACACAGGCTCACAACAGCATTGTGACATCATAATATACCAGTTTACATCATAGCATACCTCTTAGCCAATAGCGGTGGCAGATTTAAATTAAAATGCAGTGCAGAGTTTTTACCTGACAACGGCACAGCACTGCCAGTTTTAGGCAGAATATTTAAATTTTAACTAAGATGCACTGAAGTGCCAAATTATTGACTACACGTGTCTGCAGCACGATTAGACACTCGTTTATATAGTTTATCAGCAAAAAAAAGTTTATTTGGGGGTGACTTGCTCTTTAAACAACCTGGTTCTGTGTGAAAAACAGATTTTCCTGAACTTTAGCGAGCTCCATAAATGCTGTCCACCGCGTTCTCTCTTCCGCTCATTTCTCACCGTCTCTCCTCGCCTTTTACAGTTCTTAAACATCGATGTTGAAACACAATAACACTTCATTTTGCACATAAACAACAATGTGTTTTGTTTGTTTGTTTGTTTTAGAAAATGGTGAGTCAGAAAATTTAAAGATTCTTCAAAAGCACTTTGTGTTGTGCAGAACTGCAGCATTCTTGTTAAATTTGTGAAAGTTAAATGTGCAATATGTAAGGATGAAGTAAGAGTGACATCTTGTGGTCAAATGGGGGTGCTGCAGCACATTTCTATTAACGAAAAATTACTTTCTCACTCTCATCCTGTGAGTTTCATGGCTGTTGCCAGTTATGGATCAGCACCAGAAGATTCTAGATGATGAGTCTAGATGAGTCATACACAGCTGATAAGTAGATAAATACATTAGGCTTGTTCGAGTTGAGCAGCTCCTCGCCTGGAAACCAGACGACAGCAGGGGGAGTGGCTGAAAGCTGGCGTTTAACGGATTTCCCTACATGTGTAGCTCGCGGGTAACGACGGATGAAGATACCGCGTTAGCGTTCATACTTGTTTAATCATTTATTTTAATTCTGGTGCCTGTTAGCAACCGAAATACATCCTCACGTGCTTGTGGATATCATACATTGTATATGGAGATATGACTAAAATAACAAGTAAAGGTTATCAGCTACAGGTTTAGTGTCCTTTAAAGGAAACGTGACAAAAGAACACAAATCACATTTCTCTTCATGGCCTATATAGTTGTCATCATCAACGTAACATGATTTACAGAATACATACGACCAACTAACATTTCGCATTCTACCACCGGATGTTTGGCTCAGAATGTGAACCAATCAGATCTTAGATCAGGTGAGAGCCAGGCGTTTCCGTCATCCCCTAGGTTTTGCAGCCGGTGGAGAGCAACTGAAGCGCCTTGCTCTTAAATCTGCAGCTGCCTTGATCTCACAAGGTTATCGTTGCCTACATATGCATGACGTCAAAACAAGTCGGCGTGAAGTCGGACACAAATCTAACCGGCATGCACTGCGCGTCGACAACGGTGATCTAATCTGCGCAGAACTGGCTCATCTTGAACATGGCCATTGTCATATCTGGTGTTAGCTGCATTTGGGCGTTTTATGGTTGGAAGCATTTACTACATTTATGGTAGTATGCCTCTGGCATTGGAGGAAGTGTGGTTGGTTGTTCGCTTGCTGTTATGGTTTGTTTATTTGGCCGTGCGTACGTTTGTTAACGACAGATATTTTTACACGTTACACACACAGAACATCACGGAGGTAAAAGAAACAAGAAAAGATCTTTATCAGCGCATCTGAACATTATCTCTCACTTTCTCCGCCTCTCGCTGCTGACAGTGTCTGAGTAAGCGGCGCTCTGAGAAGCAGCTGGGAGAACATCTGTGACGCACTCAACATCATGCACAAGATCGCAATACAGAGTGTGAAGCAGCTGGGATGAGAATCAGCTCCTCTAAATCTGAGACCATGGACTTGATTCAGAAAAGGGTAGAATGCCTTCTCTGGGTCAGGGATGAGGTCCTGCCCCAAGTGGAGGAGTTTAAGTATCTCGGGGTCTTGTTCACCAGTGGGGGAAAACTGGAGCGTGAGATCGGCAGGCGGATTGGTGCTGCATCTGCAGTGATGCAGGCGTTGTACCAATCTGTCGTGGTGAAGAGAGAGCTGAGTCAGAAGGCAAAGCTCTCGATTTACCGGTCGATCTACGTTCCTACCCTCACCTATGGTCATGAGCTTTGGGCAGTGACCGAAAGAACGAGATCGCGGATACAAGCGGCCAAAATGAGTTTTCTCCGAAGAGTGTATAGGCTCTCCCTTAGAGATAGGGTGAGAAGCTCGGTCATCCAGGAGGGTCTCAGAGTAGACCCGCTGCTCCTCCATATCGAGAGGAGCCAGTTGAGGTGGCTCGGGCATCTGGTCAGGATGCCTCCTGGACGCCTCCCTGGTGAGGTTTTCCGGGCACGTCCAACCAGTAGGAGACCTAAAGGTAGACCCAGGACACGGTGGAGGGACTATGTCTCTCACCTGGCCAGGGAACGCCTTGGGATTCCCCCGGAAGAGCTGGCCCAAGTGGCTGGGGAGAGGGAAGTCTGGGCCTCTTGGGCTTAGGCTTCTCCCCCTGCTACCCGACTCTGAATAAGCGGTTGAACATGGATGGATGGTAGACGTCTGGGTATTTCATTTGGAGAATTGTTTCCTGATTTTAAAACTTTGGCTTGAGTAGCGCTCGTTATTCAGCTCCTGCTTCGAGTGTGTCAGCGGAGCGCGGATTCCTCCAGAACATTTTAACATCTACGAGTCTGTCTGAGACAAAAGTCCAGAACCTCATGACCTCTTCAGCAAACTCCAGAGATACATTTTATTGCGCACAAGCTGCAGGTGACAAGCTCAGGTTTACGCAGAGCAGAAGGAAGGCACGTTCAGGCTGCAGCAGGTGAAGCGCTTCTAACTGAAGTGAAATTGTTTCATTGCATTGTTTACGTGGGGTCACTCTGTTCAGCTTGTTTAGACTAAATGTTGATTAAGAGTGAATGTAAATTTAATGATTATTGTTTTAACAGTGGAAGTGACTAGGGATGTAAGAAAATATCGATATGGCAATATATCGTGATGTTTTTTCCAGCAATATTATATCGATATTCAAAAGCCGTGTATCGGAAATATCGATATGGCAATATATCGTGATATTTTTTCCTGCGATTATTACATCGATATTCAATAGCCTTGTATCTAATCTTTGAAAGAATATACATGCAAACATTTGTGTATTTTCTTTTCGTTTTGTGCAATTCAATCGCCACCCGCTAGTTGGCAGCAGTGTGCAATGGGTTTTGTTTCCACCATTGAAATGTAAATCCCTCCATTATGGTTCAGATACCTCATGTTAAACATGTTACGTATCAGTTTGGACTGTTCATTGAACATTCTTACAATAAATTCAGTAAAAAAATTGCTTGTAACGTCTGACTGAATGTATTGCAATATATCGTGATATATATCATATCGCCAGAATTTCAACAATGCACATCCCTGGAAGTGACAGTGATAAATGGATTATGTGACCTCTGGCTGCGAGCAAATGCACTGTTCTCAGATCGAGTCCAAATGCTGCCTTTGTTCAGAAAACATTCTGCTTAAATGAAATACCGCAGCAGTGGGAAACGGAGACGATGCTTCTTTTTACAGTTTAACCGTGTTTAATACGAGCCGTTTATACGTCACTCTACCAAACCACAGCTACTAAATTAAACAAGAAAAATCAAACGTAGGCGCTGCACTTCTGTAAAATAAATCCGTGTTTGTACCGTGTTCACAAATCAGACCGTGCATCATCAAAGAGTCACGCGCACAAATACATCGCCCACCGTCATTTATTGGACTGACGATGGGAATCCTGCAAGTCACCCGACCCTAATTCACCCCCGGTGCTGCCGGCGCGTTAGCTCCATCAGCTAAATCATCATTTGGAGACTATATTCTGTTTTTATTTAAGTCGTCTTTGATGTTAAAATGTTTTTGAACAGAAACATTTAAGCAATTTCAAAAAACTAAAGTAGAGCAAATAAAAAACTTTGTCACAACAAGCAGCAACAAACCAAATCCTCTGTTGGTCTCTCCACTCGTAGAGGAGTTCATCCAGTCCGTTCAGAGCACAACAGGCATGGCGGTGGTGTTGCTGGCCAGGTCCGTCATGGACCCTGGTGACCAGGTGGCTTCTGTGGTGAGTTCTGGGTCAAGATTCCAGTCTTACTGTCTTTAAGGTTGAAGGTAATAAAACCGTTGTGTTAGCCAGTCGCCTGCTGTCAGTAACGACTTTAGTTTTGTTGCTCCAACGTGTTTTTGACTGTTTGCGCTGTTCCCTGGTGTCTCGTGTGTTTCTAGGTGTCCAGTTTGCTGCGCAGCTCCATGCTGGGTTTGGATTCAGCTCCTCTGTGGCTCCAGCAGAAATGTCAGGTTCTGTGTTCCAGAGGCCGCTCTCCGTGTGTCTCTCTGTACTTGTGTCACGGCGCTCTGGCTATGCTGAGTTGGAAGGGTGCCCTCCCAGGGCCGCAGTGGGAACGGCTGCTATTGCTGGTCCCAGAGACGCTGCTGGACTTGGATGTCAGGTAGGTTTGGCTTTGTTGTCTCTTAACATGTTAAAACATCCATCTTTAATCCTTCCTGAAGATGTTTTCGTGTCTTCTGTAGTGTGAAGGAGTCCAGTACAGTGATGGTGGTGGCTCGAGTTTTGACCCTGTGGAGTGGTGCTGCTCTGGACTGTCTCCAGGGAGACACTCGTCTTCTTCCCCCCAGCCTCCAGACGTCCCTCAGCCTGGGCTCTGAGCTGCAGCGACGCCTGCTGGAGCACATTTACTCCCACTGGGAACATCCCCTAGACGGTGTTCGCCATCAGACTCGCTTCCTGTTCCGCAACCTCCTCCTCCTCCATCAGCGCAGCAACCCTAGCGTTCCCGACCCGGCCAAGGATCCTCACATCATAGAGCTTACCGCCAGTCTGCTGGGACTAGAGTGGCACATGAGGGGCAAGTACGGCTCTTTGGGCTGCCTGGTGGAGCTCTACGGGGCGGAGCACCTGCTCCACATGCAGCCCCAGCTGCCTTTGAGTCTCCTGAGCTTGATGGACGACCAGACCCTGGCTCCTTACGCCAGCGACCTGCTGGAGAAGCTGTTCGTCAGCCACAAGGCGCAGCTTGAGAGCTCCTCGGTAAAGACGGAGGACTGGATGGAGCGTTGGCACCAAACATGGGTATCCCCGCTGCTGCACACGCTTTGCCTCACAAGACCAGACCAGACGACTTACATACTGGACTACTTCCTGCCCAAGCTGCTTCGCTGCAACCCCTCAAGTCTGGCACAGATGGTGGAGGCCCTCCAGAGTGCACCACCCTGCAGAGCAGGTTAACTACGTGCCGTTAACTCGGTCTATAAAGTCTAGAACGATGTGAAACTGCTTTTTCCAACCCTACCAGGTCCTTCAGGCAGCCGAGGGGCCGAGGGAGCCTTGATGACGTGCCTACGAGCAGCGAGATCCCAAGGAGTTCTAGCATCCTCAGATCTGTGGGGCGGACTGGTGCCGATCTCCCTCATACAGCGAGCTCTTCTCCACAAGCACGATCAGGTGGTTTTCCCAGTTTCTTTTACTTTGGATGTTTTTTCTCTGTGCCTTCACGTCTCTGCGTCGTCTCCAGGTCAGGATTGATGGCCTGGGTTTAGTGTGTGAGAACCATCGCAGCACGGAGGTTGTGACCTCACTGGAAATGGACCTAATCCATCACTTTCTCCCACCAAACCTGAGCAGTCAGTCCCCGGGAATCAGAGAGCAGACAGTCAGCCTGTTGAAGAAGGTGATTTCTGCTCAGCGAGTCAGCAGATCTGACAGGAAGCACAGCGGTAATGACTTCTATTGCTCTGCTTCAGTTACTCTGCAGAGTGAGAGACAGCACTCAGCTGCTGCAGAAGAGGGGCCTTCAAGAGCGAGACCTCGAGCAGAAGGAGAAGGACCAACAGGTTCTGCGTCAGTACAAGGTACAGCACACAAATGGAGAACCTCCATGTTGGATCAGCTGATCCAGAAACTTCTTCTGAGTGTTTTGTTTCTGCAGGAGTTCCTGCGTCGGCTCTGTGCGAGTCTGCTGGAGGTGCTGCTTCCTGGAGCTTCTTTCTCAAAGTGCCTCATGTCCCTGAAGCTGCTGGGTCTGCTGGGTCAGCTCTTTACCTTCACCTCTGGTACCTCAGCTGCTCTCTAACGCTGAACGTAGAAGACCAACGGCCCGGTTTACTCTCAACCTGCCGCAGCGTTCACTCTGGTCTCTTGTGTTCCCAGGACCTGATGTGTTTGCTCTTGGTGAGATCGTGACCCCGGCACATGCTCAGAACGTCCTCTACTGCGTGGCCAGCAACTTTCTGGAGGTCAAACAACTGGCCACATCCTTACTGCAGCAGCTTCCTCCATCAGCCGTTGGACTCCAGGTCAGTGGGACGATGATCTGACATCAGCACTCTCGTTACAAGCGTCCAACCTTAAATCAGATCAAATTGTAATGATAAACTAAGATGAAGCTGTGTCCACTTTCATGGATTTTGTTTCCAGAGCTGCTGATCCTCAGTGTGGCGTGTTTTGCTGGTCTGGAGTCCTGTCGTTTTGTGCATCCGGACTTTCAGTGTAAATATTTTGTTTTGTGTTTGCAGGTTCCAGAGAGGATGCAGAGCGTCCTCCAGGCTGCTCTGGATCTCAGCACCAGCACTAAACCCTTCGACAGCGTTACAGCCGCTCACCTCCTCAACCTGCTGCTCCGCCAGCCAGCGCTGAACCAGGCTCTGCTGCTGTGCGCTCAGAACCAGAGACTGGACCTTCAGATCTCCTCCCCACCGGCCCAAGCGTCAGAGTCGCTCCTCTTAGAGCTCAACACTCTGGATGGTAGAGTCCACTCGTTTCCTACCCTCAGCGCCGGTGTGTGAGTGCAGTTTAACGGTTCCGTGTCTCTGTCCTCAGTGGTTCGGTTCTTGCTGCTCTGTCTGCAGTCAGAAGTGTCCCGAGCAGAGTCGTCTCTTTTGCAGGCAGCTGCTTCCTTTCCTCTCTATGGCAGAGCGTACTGCATCACCGCTGTGCTGCAGCATCTGGACACCCAGTGAGATGGGTCTTTGCTTTAATGGTCACCTGCTGCTGCTGTTTGTTTTACATGCAGGATCTGAGCAGTTCATCTCTGTGCTTTTAGGAGCTTGAGTCAGACTGAGCGCTGGAGAGGCCTGGTGTCAGAACTGATCGCCGTGTGCTACAGAATGTCTAACGTGGTGTCTCCTGTGGTCCAGAGCTCTTCTCCAGAGGGTCTCATCCCCATGGATACCGACTCAGGTATTTTCGTTCTCCTTCACTGTCCTGAGAGGAAGATGCTTCAGTACACAGTGGAGCTGGAAAACTAGTAAATCATTTATGGGGATTATTTTTTTTATGAATGCGCGTCACACACGGCTTGAAACTACGTTTTTGTATCGTGTTGAGAATTGGTCAGATCTTGGAAGTAACTAAGTTTGTTTACATTTAGATACAATTAAAGGCCAAGTTCACCGAGAAATTATTATTTTTTTTAATTGATTAGAGTATTTCATGCAGGCTGAACATGAAAATAGTCTCCTACACCTTTCTCCTACGTTAGCCACCGATAAAAAAATAGACGATGAAACTCTGGGATTAGAAGAAGGCCCTCAGATCTACGTCACACTGTCACTTCACATTCATGGACTCGCCCATCTTGGTGCGTGGCAGGAAAAGCTGTTGAGCACATCTTAGCTAGTAGATGCTAACCGTTAGTATTAGCAACTCCACCTCACAGCAGAATTCCTCCTGTTACATTAAGGCCTGTCAGCAAAACCTCAAACATGGGTGACCTTAAATAAATCAACCAGCGTTGCTGGTTTAAGGTGTTATTTGTGTTTTGAACAGAGACTTCTGCAAGTCTGAAGAAGATCCTGCAGGAGATTCAGCCCAGAGACACCAATGAGTTCTTCACCAGTTCTAGAGAGTTGGACACACACCGAGGAGATGACCCGACCACACACACACCGTCTGTCAACACTGGTAAGTACAACGCTGCTGCCGTCTGTTTAACACATGTATCCTCTCAGTTATTGCTATGTGTGTGGGTGGGTGCGTGCACGTGTGTGTGTGTGTGTGCGTGCGTGCGCGTGTGTGTGTGTGTGTGCAGGCAGAGAAGACTACAGAGTGACGGCTCAGATGGTGCTGGTGTGCTGCTGGCGGAGCATGAAGGAAGTGGCCATGCTGCTTGCTCACCTGTGCCAGAGCCTGCCGGTTGTCTACGCCGATGAAGACGCACGTCCTGGACTCATCACAGAGGAACAGGTGAGATGCCGGCATAGGTACACACTCCTCCCATCGCAGCTTTACGGTGGTGTCCCTGTCTCTAAGGCAGTGGTTCCCAACCTTTTTTTGACTCGTGGAGCCGTTTTCTCGTACCACCAGTACCCCCTTAGTCAAACGTTTTGACGAGTCCCCAAAAGTAGAACGTACAACCATTATTAAACGTAAATAATTTCATTAAATCTCCTTAACGCTGAACCAGGTCTCACATCCCTGGTGAATTCTTTAACTTTAACAATCACCATGCAGGGTCCAGAAAAATTAAGCTCCATGTGGAAACTTTCTGGAGCTCTGCATCCGCACCACAGCAGGTGTAAATGCTCAGATTGAACTCCATGATTTCTGATCCATGTGAAACTGAACTACATCCATTCATTTGGTGTGAACGAGGCTTTATTTTCTCTCTCAGTAGCAGCTGGAGCCCTGCGCTGGTTTTTCCTTCATAATGCTTCTTAGCCCTGGTCCTCAGCATCCCCGTCCTACAAGTTTAGGTGTTCCCCTGCTGCCACACACCTGATCTAAATGAATGAGTGATTAACAGGTTTCTGCAGCACTTGATGTCATCCTGAGAATGTAAATCAGGTGGGCTGAAGCAGAGACATGGAAAACATGCAGGACTTGATAAAAGCTGGCTTATTATTCATTTGGGTAGGAAAGGGCCACATGACTTAAAAACTATATATCACAATATATTCTTTTTGTCTGTTCATTTATGTCAACATTCTCACATACCAGGTGAATTATAGCAGAACAAACACTCCTAAAATGATTAAAGAACACTTAATATTCAAAACGTATTATTAAAATAATAATTTCTGTTAGTTTTATGTTGTTATGATTCATTCTCCAAACAATGCAACACAAAAATCCTCAAAATGAATAAAGGTATTTAAATAAAATACAAGCTAAATGCGATGAAAAGACTAAATTATAGTTTGAAATAAAGTGAAAGATGTAAAAACAGAAATAACGTTTCTTCCTGCTTTCCTGACTCTCTGATCAGACAGTCTGGGGTCATTAGAGGTCAGACCCACGGTGCCGCATGGAGAGAGAGACGGGGAGAGAGGAGCTGCACAGCCTGTTGTTAATGAGAGAAACCGCTGCGGATGGACATTTGTTCCAACTAACTCACTGGAGATGTCCGAATGTTTGGAAGTGTGTCTGTTTATCGTGTGTTTAAAAAAGCAGCATTTAAGATGATTAGTGTTAACAAGCAATTAACGCAGATACGAGTTTACTGTCGCCAGAATTATTTTCTGATGAGGCCTTTCTGTCACACATCACACTCCAGAAACTCCAATTAGGTCCATATAACCAACATTACCGGCTTCAATTCAAGTTTATTTATAAAGCGCCAAATCACGACAAGAGTCGTCTCAAGAACCTTTACATAGTAAACATTCCAACACAGGTCAGTTCATTAAGCCAATCAGAAAAAAGTTTCTTACATAAGGAACCCAGCAGGCAGCATCGAGTCACTGACTAGTGTCAGAGTCTTTACAGCAGTCCTCATACTGAGCAAGCATGCATCTGAGTCCACGCGCTCCGTGCTGCAGTGGCCTCTGGTCCAACACTGATGCAGCTTGAAAAAAAATCATGCACAGTTGCGATTGGCCTAAACTGATTACTCGTAATATAATATTAACCATATATTACTGTGCATTACTTTGTTAGAATATTCATTAAGCAAAACACATCCCAGCCCAATGTGTTTTTGTCTTTGTCTTCTAAAAGCTCTGCATTGGTTCTTCTGTAAAAGCAAACGCCTCTTATTTTTTCGGTCTCACTTACTGAGCGTCTGCGTTAAGAATCAAAAGGGTCCGGATACAGATGAGCAGAGCTCACTAAGGAGCAGACTGTCAAAGCCCGACTAAAGAAAGTTGTTATGGACTGTTAGTAATTTGACCTAAAGGGTGCACATCTAAGTTAAACCACAGAAACCTGAGAGGGGTGTGTGTGTGTGTGTGTGTGTGTGTGTGTGTGTGTGTGTGTGTGTGTGTGTGTGTGTGTGTGTGCGCGTGTGAGACTTCACTCTGGGAGTCTTCACAATTAGCATCCGCTCTTGTTAGCGCCGCTCTTTCATTCGGGCCGCTGCCCTGCTGCTTTAACAGACGACACACCTCATTTTCCTCCTTTTTCACTGCATTCTTTCTGAATCCCTCCTAACATGGAAACGGCGCTGCAGACAACTGGATACACACACACACAAAAACCACACGAGCACACGTCTGAGTGGTTCAACATGTCTGTAATAACAACTACCAGACACAACTTGTGTGTGTGTGTGTGTGTGGAGGGTCGGGTTTGTGCTCACTGGTCATCCACCCACCCTCTGTTTCCTCTCCAGGGAAACCAGTTAAGCGACCCGTTACCTCCTCAACTAGTACGTCATTTCTGACTATTGGCTCATTTAGACTTTGGTCAGCTCGGCCTGGGTCGAAGGGGGACAGCCCGCACCCGCGCGGCCATGTTGGAATGTGGATGTGGGCAGCACATAGGCAGGCTCTGCTAAAGTGGCGTGGAGAAGCCCGTGGTGTACTTCCTAAGCACCAAAAGTTAGTTAGCAAAAGCGGACGTGAGCAGCGTTACTTTTGGAGAGACCCTGGCATGAAACACACGGCTTCCTAACTCTCTTACTAAGCCGTCTTTGCCGACCAGAGCTGCAGTCAGAGAAGACGTTTACCCCACCTCATCCAGACTGTCTGTGAATCACGTGTGCAGGAAGCTGCCGCTGGCTGATTCTACAGTAGTAGGCACACGTAAGAGTGACATAACTTGAGCCGGCCATTCGGTCCGTAGGTGGGTGTGTATGGTCTGCTCAGCACGAAACGTACCGCAGGGAAGCGGGGCCGATAAAGAAGTCTGCTCCCCATGAGCTGCGTATGGATAACACCGATGTAAAGGTGTTGATCCCACCCAGCCCAGACCGAGCTGATCGTTGTGTAAAAAGAATGATGATGGCGGCAGAGGAGTTAAGTGCACGCCCTGTAACCAGAGGGTTGCAGGTTCGATAACTTTCTGTCAGAGTTGTTGTGTCCTTGGGCAAGACACTTAACTCGCCTTGCCTGCTGGTGGCGGTTGGAGAGACTGTGTTCGGCAGCCTCGAGTCTGTCATTGGCCCCAGGGCACCCGTGGCTACGTTAGATCATCACCAGCGTGTGTGTGTGTGTTTTAATTCATGCTTTATGTTGTTTTGCTTCAGGGCCGTGCCACCCCTCCCCGTGCCCTCTGTGCCACCCCTAACAAAGTTGGGGCCTGACTGCGTCTGGTGGTGGTGATCCCACAGTCTTAATGACAGGGAGCCGGAGTTCTGCGCTCGCCTCGCCCTGCCAACCTCACCTGCAATGCAGTCATTAGTGTACGCTCTGCCACTGTGTGTATGTGTGTGTGTGTGTGTGTGTGTGTGTGTACTCAGAATACTTTTGCTAGCACTGCATGGTTTTACCGATGGTGACTATTTTGCGGATGTTTCCTCCTTATTTGAGCGCGCCTGTCATGGTACCAACATCCTGCCATCACTCCGAACCGAGTCTGTTCTGGAGCCCAGGTTCTTTTTTTTATGTTGTTTTTGATTTCTGATTTTTTTTACCGACAGACAAAATATCTAGCGTTAAAATAAAGAAACAGACTGATGCTGCGACGCGTTCGTTAGGATCCCTGGGAGGTCACTGCCTCATGCACCTGCTGGTAATAACGGCGACACACATCCAGGGCGTGTGGTGACTTTTTAAAGTAACTCTGACTTTAGTTCTCATTAGGACACATCCCACTCCTCTACAGGGCTTTATGTGGGTAGTTTACTGCTGGGATCACGTGTAATGACTCTTTCCTTTCTGCTCTGTGACCTTTTTGGCATGCTATATATTCTGTTTTAGGTTTCAAGCTCACATCCTCTCCTGTTGTAATCAACTTTAATAGATAAGCCAAAAACCAAATGACTAACTAGCTTTGGAGTCGTTGGATAAGTGATATTATCCAGATTGTTCTACTTTTAAAGGACCTCTCCTGCAGGCGTTTGTGATCCTCTGTCTGTTACAGGTGGAGGGGGTCGGCCTGTACTTGCGCCAGAATCTCCTGCAGTCCCGGCACCGCGGCGCCTTTGAACTGGCCTATGTGGGCTTTGTTTGTCTCACGGACATGCTGTGCAGGTGTGTGTGTGTTTGAAAGGTAACACTGCTGCTCAGCTTTGGGTGTTCGAGCCTCTGTCACAGCGTTGAGTGTTGGCCTGCCTTCTAATTAGGAAGTGGGAAAGTTCCTGCGGTGTCGTGTCTCAGATGGGCTGTAATTACACCGCCAGTGGAGCGTTGCAGATCTTCGTCGTGTGGTGCTGTCAGGATGCCCAACTGAGATCCGGGAGCAGCTCTCACTGTTGTTCCTACAAAAGAACAAAGATTTTAGAGATTTTCTAACTGGTTTGAACCTTTTCCAGGGGAGCTTTGAAGACCTGAGATTAATGTTAATTCGTAAAATAATACAAGTTTAATTTAAAACTCTTGAATTAGATTAGATGAATTAGTCTAACTTGATTCCTAAATCAGGAAATTGTTACTGTGGCGTCCTATAAACACTAAATGGTAAATGGTCTGTATACAATCCCCCAAGGCGCTTCACAACACAGTCACATCCTGGTGGTGATGAGCTACGATGTAGCCACAGCTGCCCTGGGGCGATGCCTGCCCAACACAGGCACCTCCAGTCCCTCCGAACACCACCAGCAGGCAAGGCGAGTTAAGTGTCTTGCCCAAGAACACAACAGCAGCATTCTCTGGTCAGAGCTGGGATCGAACCTGCAACCTTCCGATTACTGGACAACCCGCTCTCCCTCCTGAGCTACTGCTGTACAAATGTGAATAAAAACCATCCATCTGTTTTCTGTAGGTGTGTTTAGGTCAGAAATCATTTGATTCTGTTAGTCGTCTCAGAAAGTCCCCATTTGTGATGTCATAATAAGGGAAATTGGCATAGAACGCCCCCACCACCACCTGTTGACGCCAGAGGAACAGCGGCTCTACTCCGAGCCCCTCACTTCATAGCAGCCAATCGGGATGAGTGGGTGTGTCCAGAAGCTGGTTTTCCTAAAGTGACAGAGCCCTGAAACTGCTCATTCTGGAAGGTCCTAAAACCATCAAGAGTAAAACTGCTGAAAGCTGCTGGGATCTATTAGCTTATAAAATTTTAACTCCTACTTTTTCGTCATGTGCCTTTTTTTTAAAATGTTTTTTAAGGAGTGGAAGCCGGGCCCTGCAGCAGCTTCCTGCCCAGTGGTTGTCCCAGGTTCTGGAAGAGGTGAAGTCCAGCGACCCGTCGTCGACGCTGTGTGCTACACGACGCAGCGCCGGAATACCTTTCTACATCCAGGTGTGGTACCATGTTATATAAACCTAACCATGCAGTGTAATGGCACACGGAGTAAGGGCCCATAGTGTCCCATTTAATAATTAAATATCTCAATTAGGGCTGCAACAACGAATCGATAAATTTGATGAAAATCGATTACTAAAAGCGTTGGCAACGAATTGCATCATCGATTCATTGTGTCGCACAACTCTCCCAAAAGCGCCCTTCCCGCCCGCCGTTGCGCGCAGAGCAAGTCAGATCAGCGCGAGGGAGAGCCGGCAGATCAGCGCAAGGTTCGCGCTGCTGCGAACCGGTTCCGCCCAAGGCCGGATTAACTGGGTAATTGCCCAGGGCCCACAAACTCTAAAGGGCCCAGGGCACGAGCAAAATACTGTATCTATAATTTCCCGCTTTATGAGGACTATGGTGACCGTACGTTCCGTTTTCCCTGGACGTGTCCACTTTTCACTCTCTGTCCGGGCGTCCGGACTGGGGGTTCGTGTATTGATGAAAATGTCCGGCTTTTCATCCAGGAGCAGGGATCGAATTATGGGGGAGCTGTATATCCTACACATCCAGGGGAACCGGAAAAAAGTTTTCTATATTATATCATTTTTGGACTCTTTTGAGCAGAGAGCGGCACAGCGCATTGTTGCGCAGCGATCCAGGCAGCTGCTTCCAGCGCACGGTCCATTCTCCAAGTGGCGCAACCAAAAAACTATAATTAGCACACGATCGTTCATGTCTGCACATGTTCTCTATTTTCTGTCTTATTTGTGCCTGAAGCACGCTACTGCGGAGCTCATCACCTGTGCTGTGGTGATGTCACCTCACGCAGCATCGAAAACGCGCTCTGCGCTTTGCGGTCAGGAGATCCCTTTGATCTGCTCAAAAGTAACTGATGAGGTGAAAAAGTAAGAATCCAGGCAACAGAATTTCTGGAGAATTAAGAGGAGATGCAGGAAGATGAGAGACAGACAGGACAGGAAAATAGTTAAATAAAAACAAGAAAACAAAACAAAGTGTTGAAAAGTAAAATGTAGGTAGATTTATCTCCACTACACGTTTTTACCTGTATAAAACAATAAGTTATACACATGTCATATTTATACATCTGATACAATTCAGATCACCTTCAAAACTCAGTCACACACCCAGGGCCGTTTCAAGACATTTTGGGGGCCAAGGCAAAATGCCCCCCCCCCCCCCCCCCCCAAAAACTGGGCTCCCCAGAAGCCTCTGTGTAATTCATACCCTCTCCAGGAGTATTAGTTATACAGTGTTTATAAAAGCCCCTCAGACATTACTGACATGTTATCAGATGAAAAACTAAATTATCAGACATGCTGTCTCATCTGCTGCTTTTCTAAACTTGCAAAAAGTAACAAAATTTGAAAGCCACTATTTGTGGATTCTCTGAAAGTTTCCATGGAGTGTGGGACAACTTATTTTTTCATTGATCCTATCGTCTAATCTCACATCTGAAACAAGCATCCTTAATAATCTGTGCACAGGAAATGTACCAATGCTGTAGTAAAACAAAAGGTATAATTTATTATTAATAAAACCTTGTTGCAGCACTAAAGCAGAAAAATGAGATTTTGCATTAAATATGCAAAATATTTACATATGAATTGTTTTAGAGCCCTTTTATTGGCAGAATCTGATATTAATTTAGTTCTTACAAAAAATGGGTCCCAACGTGGTTTGTGTGGCGTTGCCATAGTGTGACGTCATAGGCACAGATCCCCTGTCCTCTTGTTTGGAAATGGAAATATGGTCACCCTGTATTAAACAAACTGTCCACCCGGGCTTTTGCGCTGCACAGAGACGCTTCGCTGCCTATGACTGAACGTCAGTTGAGAGTCAGTCTCATGCAGACTGACCAATGAAGAGAGGGCCTCAAGTTAAGACCCTCTCCTCATTGGTCAGTCCACACGAGGTGGGTCACAGGTTACTCTGGGCGGGTTACGTGTTGTCAGGCATTCAAGTATTGAGTATATTTACTGCATATTACAGTAAAATATTCTGAATGGGACCACATTATGGTGATCCTCGGGTCGTGATGATGGAGCCCTTGAATATTGTTGCCCAGGGTACAACAAAGTGTTAATCTGGCCCTGGTTCTGCCGTCACATTCCCGCAGAAACTGGTTGATCACACCGGGGCCAGACTACTAGCGTGTGGTTTTACAACCACAATGTCCTCGGAAGCAAAAACGCTTTTAAAAGGGAGGGAGGAGTCCTAACTGTTGCTGCAGGCGTGTTGTGTGAGAGTGCAGTTATATACTGGTTAATATATTTTTGGGTTCAGTTGCTTTCATGTGGCCTAATGTGAGTCTATTTGGGATCATTGGAATGATCAGCAGCATTTCTTGATGTGACTTTATGGCAGTTGCCCAGGGCATCATCGCAAGGAGGATGGCATTTATTTACTTTTGTTTTATTTGGTATTTTTTCAGTCATTTTTGGAAATAGTGATCAATTTTGATTAATTCACAGCCAGTGTTTAATTACATTTAAAAATTAGTTGTTTGACATCCCCAGTTATAATAAATGTCAACAGATGAGATCAAACAAAACAGATGAGAATTGCCCTTAAGCTGTTTAACTTGGACCAAGCATTTTAGGTCCCAGATAGATGTAGCTTAGGGTCTCTGTCTATGCACCTTATAAGACAATTTAGTTGATGGCATGTTGTTTTTCTGCTATTGAACTGTTTTCTAATAATGTTGTGTTAAATAAAGTGAAGGAAGGAGAGAAATAACGTTTCCCTAGCAGTTTTAAAAAATTTCCCCATGTAATCCGATTAATCGATTAATCGTGTCGAGACCCCATCCGATTCATCGATTATCCAAATAATCGTTTGTTGCAGCCCTAATCTCAATTCAATTTAAACTCTGTAGATCAACATCTTCAGAGAGCTGCAGAAGACTTGGATCATAACAAAGATCTGACTTCACTGCCTCTCCAAACCACCTTAGTCCTTCCATACAGATGCTTTAGACCTGGCTTTAAAGTATTTTACTAAAACGATTTTGGTGAGATGAGAATACCGCTTTGTACTTGGTTTGTCGTCTGGACTCAAACCCGGACCCCAGATTCCTCAGTGGTTACTTCTCAGCAGCTGTTCCAACATAAACGACATGCCTCTACTGCTCTCCAGATGCAGCAAGAAGCTGTGTTTGCTTAGTGCTCTAGAGAATCAGCGGTTTTGGTAAGGACGACGTGTGCTGTGTCAGCACTCTTCTGGTTCAGCAACTGCCGCCGAAAGGAGCGTCAGATGTGATGCTTTTGTTCTGCCTCTGTCTCCTCCATCCCAGATGCTAACGTGCAACAAGACTGACGAGGTCAAAGGCTCTTCCTGTTCTTAGAGAACTCTCACCAGTTCTCCTGTCCCACAGGCTCTGCTCTCCTCTGAGCCCAAGTCATCCAGTTGCAGTCTGTTGAAGATGACCATGAGTCAGCTGATTGCTCTGGCCACGCCCTCTGCTGACAGGACCACTGACAGCTCCACCGTTCATCAGGTTAGACCTCTTCATGCATGCCTTAAGCGTACATGTGATGCCCGCTACACACGAGCAGAGGATACTTTCTCCTTGGTGTCTGACTATGATCGCTCGATCTGCACCAATAGGTCCACGCCCTGAACATCCTGAGGGCTCTGTACAGGGACACACGTCTGGGAGAGAACGTCATTCCGTTTGTTGCAGATGGGATGCAGGCGGCTGTACTGGGTTTCACTTCTCCTGTCTGGGCGGTGGGTCTCAATCTGCTGTTTTCCACCTCATAAATAAGTCCTTCAACATTACTGTTGTCATAACAGTATGATTTAGTAAAGGGATGTTTCTGTAATATTTCAGAGATCAGCATTAGCTAAACAAACAGTCTCACGCCAAACTGTGGAGGTTTAAAAAACAAGTCACATGTTAGTTTAATGCGAGCGAAACCAGAAGTTAGCCACTAATTTGTAATCATCTAGATAAGTTTGCTCTTACAGGTGTTTGCCTCATGCTTCGACCTCGTCTCTTTTCCAGGTGAGGAACTCCTCCACTCTTCTCTTCAGCACGTTGATCACAAGGATCTTTGGTGTGAAGAGAGGCAAGGATGAGCAATCGAAGAAGAACAGGTCTGCTGCTTTAACATGTTTTTACAATGCTCATAAGATCCACTAAGTCACATTTTATCCATGTAGAGACAGGAACAGTGAACTAATTCATAAAGGAAGCAGTTTAAAATAAATGTTTAGGATGTTTTAAAGAAGGCCACTGGGGGGCGCTGTTGTAACGCATCCGAACTGACCTGAAAACTGGTGCTGGATTTTTCAGATTCAGGTTCAAGGTTTCTTCCATCCACAGTCGGGAAGTTTGACCTAAAATGACAAAATGGTGCAAAACATGAATGTTTATGATATTATCAGATTATTGTGAATAATCTGCAGCTGGTATGAAACGTTTAGAAAATTTTAATATCACCGCTACTGCGTGCAAATCATCAGATCATTCATTCAGTTAAGGAAAAGATTTTTGCATTGATGTATTAATATCAAGAACACTTAGTTCCCATTCATGTAACATTTAACACAGTTTGACACTCATACATTTGTCTTTAGAACCAGTATTATGGATCCTAGAGTCGGTGGCGGAGACCTTAGATGATCAGCTGTAGGGTGATGCGTCTCTTGGGTCAAGTGTCAGTTGGACCTTAGACAAACCTAAAGAACACGTCAACTTTTGGAAGATTACAAGAATGTCTGGCTCCTTGGCAGTAAAACATTAAGAAAAAAAGGTGAAGGGTTGAACATTTTGTGCAGAACTGTTTATCTAAAAGCTGCAGGGATTTCTCAGTCTTTAACATAATGTCACATTTAACTATATATATATATATATATATATATATATATATATATATATATATATATGTCAGGGATTAAAGTTCTCCGTCGTGGCGACAGAATTCTGTCAGCTGGAATAATCAGAAAAAAGTTCCGTCAAAATATCTTTCGCTCGCTCTCTCCAGTTGCTAATTGAAACGTGCACCGGTGTTGTTGAAACACGTTTCTCCGCTTTTCAATTCAATTCAATTCATAAATACTTTATTAATCCCAGAGGGAAATTGATTGCTGTAGTAGCTCAGAATAATAATAATAATCAAGTCATCAAAGAGTTGTTGTATATTACAATGGCTGTTGGCAGGAAGGATCTCCAGTAGCGGTCAGTGTTGCAGCCAAACTGAAGAAGCCTCTGACTGAAGACACTCTTCCGTTGTCGGACAGTCTTGTGAAGAGAATGCTCAGGGTTGTCCATCATTTTCTTGATTCTCTGGAGAATCCTTCTTTGCATTATCTCCTCCAGCGGTTCCGAAACTGCCGAAACTCTGGCTGAGTCCTTGAAAGGGCTTGGAGTTCCTCCATCTTGTTGGCCAGTGATCTCACATTGCCCATTATGATCGATGGAAGAGATGGTTTGAATTTCCTCTTTCTCTGTCTCCGTTTTGCTCCCGCTCTGCACCCACGCTTCTTGCATTTTAGCTCATTTGGGATTTGTGGCTTCAGTTGAGGTATTATTTCAGCCTTTCCCATGTTAATCAGCTGCTCCCGATTGTAAACCAGCTTGTTGCCATGGTTACGCATCATAACATATGCTCAAAAAGTGAAAAAAGCTAAAAAATAGCAGTAAAAATCCTCCAAGCTTCACAGCACCAGAAACAGAAAAGTAAAGTGTCCAAAAAAATACAGTTTTTCTTGAGAAACTAGAAGAAAAAATGTCCAAGAAAAGGCAAAACTTACATATAGTCAACAGAGCTACTCCAACATGCAGCCGCCCAGAGCAGCGCAGTTCCGGAGGAATATTTTTTCGGCGTTTTAAGTTTAAAGACGGCGATTAAGACGCCGTTAAATAACCAAACGTGCTCAAAAGTGGGCGAATTGTGATCCCTAAGGCTTGCGATATTCTGCACCGCCTAAAATGCAAGAACGCGTGTGCTCATTGCTCGTTCCCACGGTGCACACAAACACAAGGACCCCCCACCCCCACCCCAGAGTACCTCAATACTTATCATCTTAGCATCTTTTTTACCACAGAGAAATCTCAATACCCACACTTTTAAACACTGTGTGTGTGTGTGTGTGTGTGTGTGTGTGTGTGTGTGTGTGTGTGTGTGTGTGTGTGTGTGTGTGTGTGTGTGAGTGAACGGGATGTTCCAAATTTTTCAGAAACAAGAATCCTGACCTTAAAATGAACCAAAACCCGAATAGTGGCTGCATGTAAACAATGTGAGCCGTATATATAAGTGAATCTTGTATTTACATTTAAGTGAACAAGTAGAACTGCTTCTTTGGTTTGTGACAGGGTCGTTGTACGTTTGGTTCCTTCCTCTCCCTCCTCCTCTCTGACCTGTATCCCACTCCCCCATCTAGCTGCTTCAAACCAGCCTCTGAGCTTCATCCTCCCACAGACTAGACCAAGAAGAGCCTCTCATTAGGGGAAGCATGCACATACTTTCATAGCATTCCACGTTGTGTATTTGCACATTTCATTAGTGTTTTCTGTGCTCATTTCTCATATTTAATCATCCTCACACACTTGCATCCTTCACTTCATTGAGACGAAGGTTTTCCTTCCCCAACAGCACCTCAGACCGGCTTCGGGGAGCATGCGTGTGGTTTTCCTGTTGTCCAAATTCTGTGCCAGTTGTGAATAAAACTAGCATGTGTCAGTCTTGTGATCAAACGTTTTGGCAGACCAAACCTCTTTCCTTTAGGGTTGACTTGATTTAGACGGAGATATATAAAAACTTTATTGAGCCTCATGCTGAATGGCGGTTTTAGCAGCAAGACTGCCAGGGTTAAATATAAAGTTTGCCTTTTTTTTTACATTTTTGTACGGTCATGGGAAAATAGATTGCACCCCCCCTTTTTTTTTTTTACTAGGTTTGTAATTCAAATCTAACCTTAAAGGTGAATTTCCCTGAGAAACGTATAGTACTTGTTTTTTTTATATGAATGGTCATGCTAAGTTTCTTCTGCACGCCGAGCCTTAAAATAGTTGTCTATCAATTTTCCTGCATCAGCCGCCAATAGAAAATAGACAATGAAACGCTCGGGTTAGAAAAAAACACACGGATCTACATCACACTGTATATTAGCATTCATTGACTCACTCATCTTTGCTCACGACGGAGAAGGCTGTTATTGGTTTAGCACCCAGGAGAGAGCAGAGCGTATCTCAAGTAGTAGAAGCTAACCGTTAGCATTAGCAACTCCACAGCATGGCAGAACTCCTTCATGCTGAGTTATTATTGGAAATTAAACATCAACGTTATAGAGCAAACAGAGGCAGCGGAAGAGTCACGTTGCTGTTAGCCAATCAGATTCAAGATGTCTGAATATCATGAAGATTAATGGGCAAGTCTCCAAATTTGTCATTTTCTGCTCCCAGCTCTTCTGAACAACTAACCCTAACCTTAACCCTACTAGAGACCACATCAAATGAGTCTGTTCGGATTTTAAATGTTGTAGAAAAATGCACAACAGATTCAAGTGCGTTGTTGTTCAAGAATAGGAAGCCAAAATGGAAAAGCTGTGCATTAAAAACCAAGTCCACCCTTCATTCTTCTACCACTTTCATGCTCTGGAGCATATAGGTGCGTGTTAACGGAATGTGAAAATTCCTTTCTCTGCTACGTTTGTCTGCAGGATGACTGGTCGAGAGTTTTTCACTCGTTTTCCGGCTCTCTATCCATTCCTCCTGAACCAACTGGAGCAGGCTGCTGCCACGGTGGAAAGGTGAGGTGGTTTTCATACCGACTCATTTCCTCAAGCAATGTTTTTCCCTTTAAAAAGAAAACTAGAACATTCCTTGAGGAAATGAGTCGGTTTAGTTTATTTACCAATACAGCTTGTGTTGAGTTTCCATATGTGCCTCCTCTTTATCGCTTGTTTGGCTGATGGATTGTTTGCCCAAACCTCAGGACTTTACGGCCCAATAAAGTAAACGTCTTGTTAAGATTTACTTTTGTTTTTCTGCAGCAGACGGTTGAGTCCGCCGAGGTTCATTGGCCTTATCTCTGTCAGCGCAGCCCAAAGCTCTCATTTTAAAAGCTTTAGTGCTCCAGCTGCTCCCCCGACAGCCTTATCTTGTTATGGATCCAATTAATTAAAATCTCTTGCAGACCAAGTCTTTCGCAATTCCCCTCGCTCCCTTCGACCCTTGTTAAAACATTTGAAAATTTCCCACGGAACCAGACCTCGGATGTCTGCTTGGCGTGTTGCTTCATCACACAGCTGGACTTGCCCCACCATTCTGTAGGTACAGGGCTGCTGTTTGTGCATTTAAACATGAAACTAGGTCGAGATGTAGCATGAGTTAAAGGAGTTAGATTTGGAAATGTGTGATGATGCACACACAAACTAATGTACACTTACTGACCACTTTATTAGGTACACATTGCATCTTATACCTCCAGAAATATCTCAACATGGTCAGCAACAGTATTCAGGTAGGCTGTAGTGTTTAAAGCAGGCTCAGGTGGTACTAAAAGGTCCAAAGTGGGCCAAGAACGCCCACCACCATCTACAGCAGCAGCCTGAGGGCAGGATGGATCAAAGTTTTCATGATGCCAGGTTCTGACCCAGCAGTTGAAATCCAGGCTCATCAGACCAGGAAAGGCTTTCCCGTTTCTTCTGGTCCAGTTCTGTGTGACTTGTAGCCTCAGGTTCCGGTTCGTAGCTGACAGGAGAAAGACCTGGTGTGGTCTTCTGCTGCTGGAGTCCATCTGGAGCAGCTGGTGTGGTTCTCTAAACCTTGATAGGAACCATTCTGACCATTTTCTGTAAACCCAAGATAGTTGTGGGTTCAGATCCCAGCAGATCAGACCAAAATGACTGGTACCAACAACCATGTCACGTTCAGCCTCCCTCCACTCACTCTTCTTTTACCTTTGATGCTCTGTGTGAACTTCAGTGAGTCGTCTACACCACATCGAGGTGTCTGAATCCTTTGGCTTTGACTATCCGAATGGCTGATTATACTTGTGTTAAAAATATTAAAGTTTTCAGAAATCTATTGGGAGAAACACCTTATTCCTCCGACAAAATCCCACACCAGTCAAAGTTGGTGTTGAGTCTGTTACCTGGAGCAGCTGTGTGTTGATGCCGTGGGCTTTCAGTAGGCTTACCTCCAAAACCAACATAGACAAGTTTGAGTTTTGATTCTTTCTGTTTGGATGTTTACCTAAGCTAAGCTAAATGGCTGCTATCATTTATTCTTCCTTTGTAACTTTTACCAAGTCAGAGAAACACACCGTCCCTAAAGTTGTATTGGTCACACTTGAATGGTTGTTTGTCCTTAGTGACAGCGGTCGGGTCAAGCTCCACCCCAGCCTGTTCCTGCTGCTGCTGGTGCTCAGTCGCCTCTACCCTTCTCCCATGGACGGGTCCTCGTCTCCTCTGGGGCTCGCTCCTTTCATACCTTTTATCATGAGGTATGTATGGGTGCCCTAACCTTCACACAATCAGTGGTTGATCAAACTAGATGGATCTGGATTTTTGTTCTTTTGTGGAACGCAATAATCTGTCTTGGTCTCTGCGTAGAGAAAAGTTGAACCGTTGTCTCATGTTCTTCACGGTTAACACAACCTGAAATGCAGGAAACGTGTCTGGGACTGTCACAGACTTGCAAATCACATTCACGAGAAACGTGGGTTTAGAGGTGCCGATCACACGAAGAGGTGGAGGAGGATGAGGGACAAATTCGCCCATGTTATAAAGTCTCTGAAATACATTAAAATGGTGTAAACACAACAGTAAATACGCCATCGAGGACTGGATACGTGACTGTAATGGTGGCAGGATTGCCCAGAATAGCGCTACGCCCTCTGTTGTCCTGGCGAGGAATCGATTTGCAACACTCCCCAGATGACGGTGAGGTCCGAGAGTAAAATGTCTCTGCCAGTGCGTGTGCGTCTCTCCCTCGCGGAGCTGATGGAGAGAGGAGTTTTCCTCTCTACTGTCGCTACATGCTTGTTTATAAGGGTTGCTGTAAAGTCTCCGCCAGTGACTCAATGCAGTCTGCAGGGTTTCCTTACAGAGGGAACCTTTTCCTAATCGGCATAATGAATTGAACTCAGTGCACCGATAGGTTCGGTTGTAATGTTTACTTAGTGAATATTTGAGTAACGTAATTATTGTCTTATTCCTAACTTTATTTGAACAGTGGACAGGATCGCCCCCTCCCCAACACAAAAACGACTTTGCTCAGATTTTGATTGTGTCATTTAATTTAAAGTTTTGAGCGATATTTTCTAAATAAATGTTTAAAACAAGTTGGTGATAGTAAAGCTGGAGTTGCTAAAGTCATGATAGAGCAGCTTCACCAGCATTTATCAGCGTGAGCTTGCTGGTTATGTTGCTAACACCTGCTGACAGGTGAAGGGACAGAGTCCAGGTGTAATATCTTGTCCCGGGCTCCGGCTAGCCTGTTGGCTCTCACGTGGGGCTTGAACAGGGTCATGACTGCCTGGTAAAGCTCACCTATGGGGTTCCAAATGCATAAAAACCACCTCTTCAGTGACCCTGAGTTACAGAAAACGGACTGTTTAACAGTAAAGTCATTATGCGAACTCCCGTGTAAGTATAGTTGTAGTTTTGGCTGCACGAGTTCCTGTCAGAGAAAGAATGCAGCTTGCATATGAAGCCCCGTCCTAGCTTCTTTGGTTTCAGTCTTTGTCTTTTAACAACCTCCTCACCCCCAGTGACAACAGGGTTCATCAAACTTCTCCGATGAGGTCATTGCCTTTCAAAGCTGGACCTCCCTCATCCTCCTTCTTCCTCTCTTTGTGGTTTGAGTTAGAACCTCCTGCATGCTTTTCTTTTATTAGGATTATACTTAAATGTTTCCTCCTCCATCACAGTGCATTTATTTTCTTGTTTTTTTTTTAATTTACATATAAAATTTAGATTCTGAGAAGTGTGTTTGTAGGTGTTCTCTCACATATCCTTTTTAGCGAAGGCCCAGAAACTTTCAAAAAGACACTACTATTACAACCGGGTGTGCATGTCATACCTATCAGGGTATCTGCAGGTCCTTAAAAAGTCTTAAAAAGTCTTAAATTTGCTTTTCCAAATATAAGGCCTTAAAAATCCTTAAAAATGACAAATAATCCTTAAATAGTTTCCAAAGGTCTTAAATTACCAAAGACCCAATAAACAAGATTCTTTTATTTCTATAAAATTTTCGTGAATTTCTCGTTAGTCTTCAGCATTTTTTGTGTGCGATGTTGGCGTAAGCGGAACCGTACGCATTCGGTTGGTTGTGAAAGGGGGCTATTTTTAGATGAGCATGCTAGTGGGAGTTTACGCCATGGGGAAGTGCAACATTAATGGTAACTGGATGGCTAATCCCACGTTCACGACGTGGTTAGCACCGGTTCCAGGCAATAGCTGGAAATTATAGCTTAAATTTAATTTAAATAAATAGCTTAAATTTGGTCAAAGCAGCCTTAAGAAAGGTCTTAAAAAGTCTTAAATTAGGCTCCGATAAACCTGCAGATACCCTGCCTATGAAGGGTTGTTAACACAAGGATGGAAAATAAATGGCCTCACATGCTTTCATTCTTTTTAAACACAGAAACAGTTTTGTTTACCTGTTTTGTAGCTACAGTTTCGCCGACGGCTGCTGTCGGCGAAACTGTAGCTACAAAACAGGTAAACAAAACTGTTTCTGTGTTTAAAAAGAACGAAAGCATGGAATTAGAAATACACAGCAAGAACACACCTAAGATGTTCAAAATGGCCTCACAGTGACCCTAGAAACGTTCAAAAGTCACCTCTTCCTACATCTAATATCCATAAGTTGCTATCAGAGGTCACTACAGGTGCTGTCTTCTGCAGAAATCAGCTGACTGCACTTACTACCTCGATATGTTGTTTTTAAACCTATTCTGTAGAACTTCAATTCAAAATTAGTCTGATTTTTGTTCAGTTTATTCAAAATATTATCGTGAACATTGAGTTTTTCTGTCTTTAGAAGAAAGACACCAGTGATTTTATCCACGTCTGCTCGGTAACAGAAACCGTGACTCTCACTGTATCGTAACAGTGCAGACGTTCGTGTTCCACAGATGCAGCCGCTCCGCCGTCTGTCGGACCAGAGAAATGGCAGCTCGGGCTTTAGTCCCCTTTGTGCTGGTCACCCAGGTCGCCTCGGTCGTCCTTTCCTTGCTGCAGGAACTCCCTGCAGAACCAGGACCCCAAGTCCAGCATAACCAGGTCCACGGTACTTTACTGCAGGTCAGTGTCATGCTGTTGTGTTTCCAGTGCACAAAAATAAACACGATGAATGTTATTTTGCTATTTTTGAATGTGTTCTCCTTTTCTAATGTGTTAATCAGCCCCGTGTCATTTTAAAGACTTAAGTGAACAGCAAAGTCTGTGTCAGAGTTTGCCCAGACACGGCGGTTTTAGCAGAGTCGGTGTTTAGTTCTGACAAACAGATCTAAAGAGTTTGCTCGTAACATCAACATGTGCAGTGAAAAAATGACCGGGGGAGTTTTCCTGCTTTTTATTGAACACAAGTGACGGGTTGGAGAGGAATACGGTGGGCGTGGTGGAAATCTGTACTGGAGGGTCAGCACGTGTTCTTGTTGGGATGAGACGAAGCGCCGGTGGTTAGATAGCAGTCTCCAGGGAGGTCTGTTGCTGGATGGAGGGGTGAATAGTGGACAGGATGTGGGCTTCCTAACAATTTGGATGAAATTTCAAGATTAAGATGTTATTTCAGTTTCCTCGTGGCTCCACAGATCTTCTTCCTTCCACCCTCTTCACCATCTGTTTTCCGTCTTTTTCAACATGTGGAAATCCTACTTTTTATATATTTCAAAAGTCAATAAAACATCAAGTTATGTTGTGGCCAGTGATGTCTATGATGGTAATCAGGCATTGTTTTAGTTGGCACGCTGTGGTGTGTCCAGACGTAGGGCTAGCATCCTTGTAAGGACCCTTCCTGGCCCACATGGACCGAGTCCTTCCTTGACTGCTAAGACTGGAGCAGGTGTGAATTTGGACGGTCTAGCCTTCAGATTTATCCCCACCTTTGCCTCGTGTATGTATGTTCCGTGTGTCTTGTCATCGAGCAACGGTGACGTTACTAAACTAACGTTGAAACCAAACCTAACAGCAACACACGAAGATCTACCGGCCCGCCATGCAAGATTGTTTTCCTTATTATTTTAGAAAAAATTAATATTTAAAAAACAAACATGCAAATGAAGAGGCTACTTTTTTTCAGCTTTTATTTTTGTACCGCCATATATTTAATATCTTGTTAAACTTTAATCCTCTCCTGCCTCGTCCATCGTTGTTTCAAGAACAAACGTCTCTCATTTGGCTCTCAGTGAATCCTGGGATAGGGTGGACCAGTAAGGAAACACCAGTCACTCGTTGAAATTCAGGGAAGATGAGAAGATTCTTCAGATTTGGACAGGCTTTGTCACTTCACTCTGATGTAATCAGCCCTAAAAGGTTTGGACACAGCAAATATTAATGAATTTAGCTTAAATTTCTGAAGCATCCATAATGAAATAACAGTTATTCTTCTTCACTCAACCACAGAAATGACAATGCAACCCAAAGTTGCTTTAATAAGATGCTAAGGGCACTCTGAAGATAGACTGGTTCTCTATCTGCTACATGTGTTTGCATTAGCCATCTATGATTTGAAAATCCTGACAGATCTACGTCACACTGTCACTTAACATTCATGGACTCACACATCTTGATTCACGACGGGGAACGCTGTTGTTGGTTTTTGCGTCCAGGAAACAGCAGAGAATGTTTCGGCTAGTAGAAGCTAACCATTAGCATTAGCAACTCCACCACTCAGCATAACTCCTCCAGGCTTGTGTTATTTGTGGAGATAAAACATCAACGTTGCAGAGCCGAGTCAGTGGTAGAGTCGTGTTGCTGTTAGCCAATCAGAAGAGAGATGTCAGAATATCAGGAAGTAAGACTCCAAATCCGTCGGTCTGCTGCTCCCCTCTCCTCGGCTAACTTCCTGAAACAGGAACATCACAGCATTTTCCCCCCAGAGATCGACTGACTGGACATTCATCTATTCTAGAGACCACTGCTGATGGGTAGAAAAACTAGTGGACTGAAGGTCATTTGCTTCAGGCGTACTGAAGCAAAGTAACAGGTAAAGTTGGTCAGCCTAAACGCTGGAGCTGATGTGTTGGTTACTGCATTTGTGACTCATCGTCACTTGTTTTGGAGCTCAGATTGTTTTTGTTTGTGCTGTAAAGAGAAAGAGAATGTTGTCTGATTTTTTTATTGGGATCAGTTTTTCTTACCTGGGCACATCTACAATTACTTAGCCCGTGAATTATGATTGATGTGTTTTACTGGATGGTGTGGTGGACAGCAGGGCAATCATTTGCACTTGCACTGACTGTGTGTGCGTGCGTGTGTGTGTACATGCTTGCTGTAGTGTGTGGTCAGGCTGTGGCTGTGGGAGGAACGGCAGGGCAGCCTGATAACAGAGTTTGACGGGAGCTAACATCCACCACCACTATTTTTACTGGTTCCAAAAGCGGAGTGCAACACGCACGAAGAAATCACACGAACAAGTACTTCGTTGCCTCGCTAGACGGAGAACGTGTTTGATATTTGCCACATTTAGTGCAGTTTTTAGAACGACACAAGGTTTGGTTTTCATAGTTAGCCTCGGTGTTTCAGTGGTTACTGACGTATAACTACAAGCATTTTCAAAGCTTCAGTGGTTTTTCGTGGAGTTTTTCATTAAATTCATGGTGAGAGGTCATTTCTTCAGTGTTGGTCTTTCCCCTTCCTCTTCAGGTTATGACCAGTGAAGCACATTTTTATTAGCAATGTTTGGAATCTGGGTTTTTTTATTGCTTAAAGGCACGGCAGAGGATGTTTCTGAATTTCAGGAAAGAGCCGCCCTCCCCACGTTTTGAAAAAATGTGCATGAGAGAGAACGCCCAGTTATCCTCGTGTACGCTCTGTTTACAAGTAGCTGCCGGCTATGCAGCACACGCTCACTCGAGAAGAGATTTGGGGTTTTTTCCTGGTACTGTATTCTAAATACTGGGAATACTTCCCCTTAAAATCAGCATTTAAGTTAAAAATCACAATGTGCGTTGATGGCTACTCCTGCAGGAAAACAGAGGGCATGTTTATGCTAAACGATATGAACTGACTGGGAAAATAAAACACTTTAATGACTTTTGTTACTTTATTTATCAAAGTGCCAACAGATTCTGCAAATCCTTCATGTTACTTCTTACTTTTCATTTGCAGTTGGCATGATAATTTTTTATTATTCACCAGGAATAATCGGTGTCATTATTGAGTCATTTGCAACCAAAGTGCTGCTAGTTCCCATTCACTCCATTTTTGATGGCAGGCAAAAGCAAACGGACTGCTGCCGGATCAGGAGAATTACTGCACTGGTTACAAAAGCTTTTTGCTCGCTTATCTAACTGTGGGAAATACGGTAATAGACAAATTTTCACTTTGAGGTAGAATATTCCTGTAATGTGTTTC